TAATGTCCGCCGACAACCTGTTTTATACGTAATAACTCTCCACAAGCACTTGTGCTAAAAATAGTGCCATGCGAATTTTAATACATGTAAATAATAATTAAAAAACGGGGCGGGACACTTTGAGAGGGGCGAGAGAGGCCCTTAAAAGTTATGGTATAAAATTTCATTGCAAAAGCTCAAAGGCTTCTTGAGATATCGCCCGGAAACAAAAGTGTTACACACAGACGGAATGTATAAATTTACGACCTTAAACTCTGATCTTTTGACCTCAAAATCAATAGAGGTCTTCCTTAGGCCACAGGGAGTTGTTATGTAAAATTTCATTGCAAAAGCTCAAAGGATTCTCGAGATATCGCGTGGAAACGAAAGTGTTAAAACAGACAGAATTAATGAATTTATGACCTTGACCTTTGACCTTTTGACCTCAAAATCAATAGAGTTCTTCTTTAAGCCATAGGGAGTTGCTATGCAAAATTTCATTGCGAAAGCTCAAAGGGTTCTCGAGATATCGTGCGGAAACGAAAGCGTTACAGATAGACAGAAATACAAACGGACGGACGGACGAACAGACGTACGGACGGACAGACAGACCCAAATTAATATCCCCCACTTTCAGTGAAAGCGGGGGACAATAATGGCCTAACAATTAGTATGAAAAACGCCAGTCAGCATATGACTTAGTGATAGATTGTATTTGCTGACAAGGTCATTGTATCAACCATAGAACTTACGAAATGACGACTTTAAACGAGACTGCAGATATTCATGTTTTATCAACTTGTTTTTTCACGTATAAGATTTTGAACAAATTCTGTTTCATATGAATACAAAAATAAGTGCTAATAATGGGGTGCAATTGGTACCCATGGGAATTCCAATAGATTGTTGGAAGACCTGGTCTCCAAAAATCACATAGATATTGTCAATCAGAAACTCAAGCATCTTTTTAACATCAACTTCAGAGTACTGTGTGTACAATCAAAATTTTTTTTAACAAAATTATTTTGCAAATGACAACTGACAAGGTAAGTAAATTTACGAGTCCCATTTTTATTGTAAAAGCAGCTGTCAATGATATCAAAAAGGCTGGAGTTTAATTCATCGTAGGGAACGGTTGTATATAAAGTTGAAAAGTCGTAAGTTTTATGTTGTTGATTTTGGTAAAATTTTGTGATTTCAAATTTTCCAAAAGTTTTTAATTATCCACATCTAATATACACCACTTCTCGAATATATTATTGCACAGTACTCATGAAGTTTCTCCTTCACTACTGTTAATATTTTAGTGAGGAGTAAAGAAAGAGGCTTGTTAGAACATTTACTGGAACCCACTATGTATCTTTGTTTTTAAGGATTTTCATGAAGTTTCGGAATCCAATATAGATATGGTAATTCAAATTCATGTTGGTTGTTGGGAATATTAAACATATTCAAAACTGACATATGATTTTGAAGAATTTCCTCCTTAGAAAGGGGTCTATGGGTATAAGTTGGATTACCATTTGTTGAATTAAATCCCAGTTCCTCTAAAATACAATTTAGATAATGAGTCTTACAACAATGTTGTTACCTTCTTTGTCAGCAGGGACCAGTACATACTGATCATGTTATCTATTTAATTCTTTTTTCACCTCTGAATCATTGAACACAGAAAGATAGTTGGTTTTAATATTGCCCCTCAATCCCTTAATGCGAGATTTTAAAATTATCCATTCTGACAACGTGTCGAGGTCTTCTTTTTCATGTCTGGCCCATCGCCTAGCAATACATCATATGGTGTTTATGACGGCTTTTTTCATTCGATTTAAAGAGGCATATTCTGTGAACAATAATTTTTATGTACAATTGCCAATGCGAATTCCTTTTAATAAAATAACTCATTTATGGAACTTCTCATTCTCTAACATTTCTGTGTACTGCCATGGACCCAACTCACAGGTATTGTTATATCACAACAAAAGGAAGCCGAATTATGAATATGATTGATAAGTAAACATTGATTACATAATATGTGGCGTAAATGATTATATAATGTATAAAAAACATTCTTCTTGTGGTATGAAACCGCAAACTACATAAAACAAATTCAAACGAAGAAAAGAAGATACAGACAAAATTGGACTACATCAAAAAAGGCAAAGGTGGAGGGCTGGAGGAGACTTAAATATATCAAGGGGTTAGTGACAAATAAGCTTATGTTACAAGAGTATAATCATGCGATAGCACCTTTGAGTCGGATGTGTAGGAAGTATGACTCTCGACTGAAAGTTAAGAAATATTCTTTTGTTTCATTTTCAAGTAAAGTTTTAAGGTATTGAATCACGATTTTCATATTAGTACTATGAAAAATGCTAGCGATATTAAAGTTCATGTTTGAGTTTCATAGATTCTGAAAGTTTGTAGGATTTTTTTACTTTGATTTTCATCGCATTTTTTGCCATAATAGTACATATTTAACTCTCCCATAATAATATATAACTTGAAAATGTGATAAAATGATGTTGTATTTCAGATTTTCCCCCCAGAATTATTATAGTATAAATTTAAATCATTTGTGTGTGTCTGTGTGTTTATGTTAGTTGAAGTAGCAAAAACATATACATGCGAAAAAGTAAATTTGCATCAAGGTTTAATTTTATAACACATGCAACTATAGAGTTTTACTGTCAAATAATTAGTAAAAAAGTCTCTCTCTCTCTCTCTCTCTCTCTCTCTCTCTCTCTCTCTCTCTATATATATATATATATATATATATATATATCTTCCAGAAAACTATTAAAATGATATGAAAGAGAGTAATGTGTAAAATAGAATGAGAATGAATCGTCTTAAAATGATTTAATAAACAAGTGTAATTAAGCAAATTAAGAGTGTATAACTGTCAGCAAATAAAATCAGTGAACGATGTTTCTTACATTTTTAAATCTTATTTTCTCCTACTTATACTATTAAAAGGGTCATTCAAAAGTACGCAGAAAATTTTACTCTTCGTCATTTTATTTTTGAGAAATTTAAGATCAACACTTTATTATGTGTAAAAACATTTATTTGGTTGATGTATGCAGTTTATTTTTTTTTTTATCAAAAGGAACTCATGTTACATTACTTTTAAATCAACATTTTTTGTCGCTACGGAGCACTCATATCAACTTAAAAACCATAATGCCATGAGAGTCTTAAATATACATCTACTCTTTATTTCACACACTCTGTTGCGCCTTGCCTATTTATTTAATCGGTTTCTATACCACTTTATAAATATATCGCTAACATGTATTCGAGCTATATTAAGATAACTCATATCAATGTCTACATTTTCTATTACCACGCAAAATTTGCTTTCTCAAGTTCCAAAATCGAGAAGCACACATCCTTTCCATGAGGTATCGGCTTAGACCAGATTCTGGTCTAAGATCTTATGACCAGAGGTCTAATTTTATGACATTTTTTGCAGATATAGTGAATTGCCCTTACATCTAAAATTTAAAGAATTATATAGACAGTGTTGAATTAGAAAAAAAATTATTTTACAGCTGAGAACCAATTAAATAAAATAATTTTTTTGCTCAGAAATGACCCCTTTTCATTGGCAATTTTGAACTGAAATTAGAAAAATTACATCCTTCTAATTTTTTTCTATTTCTTTTAAAAACAAAATTACTTAAGGAGTTGTGCAAAACAAACTTGAGATAATTAAACAGAAGTTATTTTTTTTTTTAGATTTGAACAAATTATATGTTTATCACCCCCCCCCCCCCCCCCGCAGTAAAAAAAATGGAAAGACAATTTTGCAAAACGGTTCGTCTTTTTTATTTAAATATTTTGGGTTTCCAACGTTTCGGCTTGAGAATCACTGAAGAAACATACTTTGTGGAAATGCGCATCTGGTGCAACAAAATTGGTGCCGTATATGATTGACATTATGACCCCTGGATCGAGACCTCTGCTGGTGGACTGATAGTCCCCGAGGGTCTCTACAGCCAAGTAGCTAAGTACTTCGGTACTAGCTTGAAAATACGGATACATGTATATATTAATTGCTCTGGTAAAATTTAGAAATTTATTACAAAATAAAGGATTATCTCCGTCATGCATAATTCTGATCCTTTGACATATTTGGCCCCAGTCTGTGGCATCTTTTTTCAGCTCTTAAAAAGTCTTTTTTATTTAAATATTTTGGGTTTCCAACGTTTCGGCATGAGCATTACTGAAGAGACATAATTTTTCGAAATGCGCATCTGGTGCATAAAAATTGGTACCGTATACGATTTATATTCGTATAGAGGTTGAAAGTTTTGTGTTTAAATAATTTTTTGTCCGATATTCTGTTAAAATTGAGTGCATAAAATCAACCAATTACGAAAAGTTGGCGTAAATTTTGTTTAGAGAATCTTCTTGCTTGAATCGATTCTATATAAAACATAATTCTTTGGGAATTTTAGTAGGTATTTCTAAATGAAGTCAGCATCAAAATTCAAAGACTTTTCTTAAATTTCAAATTATAAATCACATACTAAAAAGGGCTAGCCCTTAAATTGTGGAGAAACTCTGATGGCAATAAAACGAGCCTGACAAAAAGTGATAATTTGGTTATCCAAAGTGAAATAGTTAAAGTTTTTAATTAATACATTTAAATGGTTGTTATAATAGGCGGTAATGTCTCTTTAAGCTTGCACATACAGTTGAAGTTCTTTATCGCATTCACCGATATCTCGAATACCATGGATATGTCGAAGTTATTTTGAAGTCCACATTACTTTTTAACAATATTACTCTCAATATTTTGAACCCTCTGATATCTTAAAGTTTTTTTTTCCTCGGTCACATAGAGTTCGAGATAACGAGGTCTGGTTGTTTTTCATTCTTGTTACTGATGGTTGTATCACAAATTATAGTAGGAAGATGAAGAATACATTGCGTCCACTGACTTCTTTTTCTACAACATGAGAATAAGATTTTTTTTCATCAACATTTCTTTTTCTTTCTATTCAATTTCAAAGGATTCTGGTTGGTGCTCCGGAAGGTGAAGATATCTTTCAGCCTTGGGTGAGGCAGCCTGGGGCATTATATAAATGTCTTTACCCTGCAGGAAAGGAAAGACAATGCCAGCAAGTCAATGTCGACAGTTCAGGTATTAAATTTTTTTCTACATGATTGTCCATTTGATAAAAGACATTTTCTCTCTAAATTTGAAATGAAACAAGTACAAAAGTTTTCTGTAATTAAATGACCCTCGTAGCTACTGTAAATATATAATTTTAGTTCGCGTGTACGACATTTGGAGGAAATAGATCAGAGAAAATTTTCAACAAGTTAACGTAGATTTGATTTAGCACATTCTGAATGCTTTACATGAAAATATATACAGAGGACATGTAGCGATGTACTTGATTTAGCGAAAGCTACTTTTCCACAGAAGGTTCTAAATAGAAAGCACAGCCAAATTCATACGTTTACATTATTTGATGGAAGGGAATAGAAATAACTTCCCAACAAAATATTCTGAAGTGCCCTACAGTTTGTTTTACAAGAGTTAATTGATGAAGACAATTATATAATATAGTCAGTTCATTCAAAATAAAAATGTAGTGCATAGTTTGACTTCTATTTTCTTTTGCCAAAATGTTAAACAGTAATAAAAACAATTGGTCTAAAACCTTCGCTCAAAGTTCTCCTTAACTGTTCTAAATTGAGACATTTCTTTCAAAATTGACTATGTGTATTCTACCCCAAAAACTTTCTTTTACTATATTCAAAAACTATATCATTAGCCAATCTAAATGTTTGTCTGGTTCCATTGAAGAGGTGGGTAAAATTGATATTTTTTCTGCAGTCGAATTGATAAAAGAAATTGGTAGTTAAAACATCACAGGTGTGTGTAGGCAGCACCCACATCATTATTCGGCAAATTCACCTTTTTTGTTATGGTAAATGTAACATTCAAAACATCACAGATTAAAAAAAAATTATTACATGTACTACACGTATTCTTAGGCTAAAAAGATTTAACGAAAAATTAAGAATTCAACACTACCCCGGGAAAAGTTTATTTCTTTCTGTAGAAATAATATCGTAAAACATCTCTAGACCATGAAAAGTGCTGCTAGAATCCTACTCTCTGTGTCACAGAAATGATTTTTCCAAACTTTCGTATGAAACCTTGCCTTTTTTTTTTTTTTTACATTTTGTGTATACAATTAAAGAATTTTCAGAAATTTATGTCAACCACAAGATTCTCGCAACACTTAAACTTTTTAAGTCTTACTATAAAATACAAGTTCTCGATATGGACAAAAATTGTGTTTAAAAGCACGTGGCGTAGTGTTGAACTTTTGCATCTTTTTTGTTAAGAACGACAAAGAAAATTCTTTTCGGGATTTCAAAAACTGTATTCATTTTAAGAAAAAATGAGGAAAATAAATCAGTAGGTCCCATGTCAAGGTAGGCGTTGGCACAATTAAGAACCATCACTGCCCAAAAAGTACATAGTATAGGTCTAAACTAGAAGCCCTTCATAGGAATTTAGTGACTTCTCATATGAGTGAAAATCTTGCAAGGGATGTAAAACAACGATTTATCAATCAACTACAGTCAGCCGGTTCAATAATTTGAATAGTAAAATTTAATATGTATTATTAAGAATGCAGATCATATTTTCAGTTGTAAGCTTAAGCAGGTCAGAAAATTACACATTAGAATATTCAACCTTCAACTCTTCAACATTCAATGTACATAATTACTCTCATATTTTTTTTTTACCGTTGCATTTACAGCAAACTTCTCACATAATGCTTTATATTAATCAAAATATGATATCTATAAGAATTTTATTTAACTAAAGGAATATCAATGAATATCCTTTGATAAAGCAGGGGATATTTTTTATCCAGCTGTATACTGGTAGAAAATTTAAAAGTTAATGCCATTATGGAGTACCAAAAACCAATTGTGACGAAACCGTTCTTGTCAACGATAGAACCTATTCCCTTTTGAAATAGATTTGTAACTTATCTTTATTAGATATTTTGACCATAAGGTTCTTTTCATAATTCATAAAATAATATATTAGCAAGACAGAATAAAGGAAGTGTATGGACAAGGCATCAAATAACGACCAATTATATCAGAAATGTGACGTTAGCTGCAGAGAAAACGTCGAACTTCTACAAAAAAAACCCATAAGGATATAATTAAATCAAAAGAATTAACAAGTAAGAAACAGTTCACTGCGTGTAAAGAACAGTTATGTGATTTCATTAGTACCTGCCTTCCAGCAGCCAATGACCAGAATGCCCTAAAAACGGAAATGAGCGTAGGAAGTTTATATCTTTAGACTGACCCATGGTCCCATGGTACCAACGTCATGACTTCATCTATTCTTAGAATACTTAAATCCATTGACCTTTGACCAAGAACCGATCAAAAGGTCATTTGTTTAATTTTCTATTTTAAAAACAATTTCGAGTTCAACTATACATATTATAGTCTGTGTAACATGAAATATATGGAGATAACGAACAGTATTCAAGCTCAAAAGTCTATTAAACATTACAAAATAGGTGCAGAGCAAACACGGACCTCCAAAACATCAGAGGTGGGATCAGGTGCCATGAAAGTTCATATTTCGACCTTGTTTTAGTCTTTTTAGGCAAACGTAGAATTAGCCTTTTGAAATAGCTTTTATGCACTTCTAACACTGTTTATCCATATTACCTGATAGGGAAGGATGATCATTTTTAGTGTTCTTTTCTTAAATCGGAGAAGGAAAATAATTGTTATACATATTTTTTAGTCCTTATTGCTGAGCATGATTCGTAAAAGGCAGAGATCCTGCCATATTACTTTGCATTTTCCGTTAGCTACATGGCCCCTATATAAGCCGTTCACTTGGTCTCAGTGGAGTGAAATCTGTTTTCACCGATGTAGACTGATATATTCTACATAGCTACTGAAAATCTCTCGGCAGCGACAAAAATAACTGTGTTTCTTCTACGGAAGAGAAGGTTACCAAAGAAACTTACATTAGATGAACAGATCAGTGCAGAAAAAACAAACACAAATACACGTAAACTGCAATAAAATGTAAACAACGGTAATGTAAGATCATCAAGACAAACACATGTCGTAGTCCAATCCGAGCAGGTATCAGTGACAAGAAAGCAGTTAGGTGTAACGAATTCAAAGGGTATACCCCGGTGCTGATATCGGAAAAAGGAAATCTTATAATAGCGTATGCATATCTACGAGTCGTGTTCAGCTTTAATGTTAACTTTTTTGTTTGTTTGTTGTTTAATGTCCCTCTTGAGAATCATTCGCCACCATTTTGAGAAATTTCCAAGAAATAGTCCCACATTAATCTTATTTCTTGTCAATTTTTAGGGCATTTTTTTTTTTACATTTAATATTGTACGATTCCTACTGTTTAATTCAAATATGTTATAAAAATCAATTGTATTTGACAATAGTTTTATTTGATAATTTTGAATTTCTGGTCAAAATTTTCTCTAAAGCGGACGAGTGACATATACCTAAAACAATGATACAATATGTAAGTAACCTTTAATGCTTTTTATGGTCTCTGTAGGAAAGCTCTCTGTGAAAAATCCTGATTGTCACAGGGATTATGGAATAATTTCTTGCATTATCCCATATGGGATGACTGCAGACCTAAGAAATTACCTATCATCGGCATAGATCAGCTGTTGTGAGCAATTTTAAAGCAAACAGCCTGTACTTTTTGAATTTTTCAATTGATGCCCCCAATATTGAATTGTTGCCAATCCTATATGGTTGATAGCTTTTAGCGGAAGAACTCAATTTGCTTTGTGTCGCTCATTGTCATTAAAACTCTTTTCTGGAAATGATGGGACTGCGATTTAAAGTAAATAAATGTATTGTTGATTTGTCAATTTGTATGACGTTACTATTTCGAATAGGGAATTCTGAAGAAACAGTTCTGTATCATCGAAGGAAGATAAGATTCCACAGTGATAAAGATCATCAATGGCTTGGTGTGTCGTTAGACGTTGATCCCGAAAACCAATCAAGCGTTCTGGTAAAAATCAGTTTATATCAATTTTATTCAAAGGATTTCAACAGTACAGCTCTGAAAGCGTTTGAAAAGAATGCACTTTGCATCCAAATTAAGCGCATCCTTTTCTATTTTTTATTTTAAACTCTCTCTCTCTCCGCAGATTTTTTTCAAAGTTATAAAAAAAAGCAGATCTCTCAAACTGATCCTTGAATTTTAATCATTATATATATATATATATATATATATATATATATATATATATATATATATATATATATATATATATATATATATATATATATATATATATATATATATAATGATCTTGATTACCATTAAGCATCTATTATAACTGGGTTATTTTTTTTCATGCACTTTAGAATGACGTAGACAATTTGGTTCAGGAGCTATTAAAAAAAGCAAAGCAAATAAGAAAAAGACAATTGTCTTCTCCACATGGGCACCTCTGCCTTATTTTCTACGATTGTAAATATTTTTGTTATTGCCCTCAATAGAAAATATCATAACGCAATGACTTTTTTTTCTTATTTCCAAATATATTCATACTGAATTCAAACAACTTGAAAAAAAAAAACAGTATGGCGCGATTTTTCAAAGTCTTCAGAAGTTGACAAAGTTTATTTAAGCATTGCAACTTAATATACGGAGAAGTGGTTTGTTTTTCCCCCAGAGTCTATATGGTCAAATTGTACGAATCCGATGTGGATGAAACTGGTTAACTTGTTTAATGTTATTTTCTTTGAAATACCAAATTTATTTGAAATCTTTAAAATGTGGTAGAAGCGCCGATGTTGGACAGACTATGCTTTAGCTCGAAGGATGGTTTCAAAGTAGAAGGTTTTGGAGAATTGATCTATTATTCTAACCTTGTTCAAAGGTCAAGGCATTTATGATTTTGAGATAAGATGTAAAAAGTTAAGACACCTATGTCGTTGGAAAGACTATAAATTTACTACAATCATCCCAATTAGTGCATCCTTTGTAGGCAATATTCAATGATTATCGTTTTTTTTTATTTTGTCTTCTCTTCTACATAACATATAATTATGTGCTTCTGTTTTCTGTGGAAAGTTGAGAACATTGACGTATTACGCTTCTTTGCAGTTTTAGTCACATTCTTATACATTGTATAATTGAACGGAAATTGACATGGTTTCCCATACATTTCCTTCTAATTCTTACACCAATACAACTTTTTTTGAAATCTGAAAATATCTTATGATCAAATTGAAAAAAAAAACCAAAACATTTCATTGTTTCAAAAATGAATGGGTAGATCATAAATGTCTCACAAAACATTGTTTAAAAAAAACAAAAAACAAAAACAAAAACTTCATCAATTATGAATTCTTTATCAATATACATGTAGATAAGTTTCCATGCCTCTCAATTAAGTAGACGATGTTTTTAACAATTTTATCTAAAATATGGGTTTGAAAATTACCTATTGTGATAACCCAAAAAAGTGCTTTGAGTAAGAAGATTTGCTGTATATGCCAATTTTGTTGGAGTATTGAGAGCCGTTGGAGTACATATGTTTGTATTTGTTTTACTTCCTCGCGTGATAATATGGTCTATACTCTTCGTAATATAAACTTAAAGCAATATGAGATGCATTTTTGAGCATTTTCTTTTGCTGTTTAAATGTGCTGTAATGATAAATCTGTATGTAATTTAAGCATTTATGATCAATTAGACTCAAACAAGGTATTACATTTTTTTTTTCAAAAGAAAGATTCTTGTACAATTGAATGTATAATATTATACAAGAAATCAATATTGTACAGGACAACAGTAATGTAATGTTGCTTCAATCAAAGCTTATGAATATTTTTTCAATCGCAAATACGACAACTAATATTTATAAGAAATTTATTAGAAATGTTTATAAAAGTTCTTTTTTCTTTCATTGAAATAGTTAATTCCAATACTGCACCAAAAATTTCCGACATCCAAGTTGCAGCTCATATACATGTAGCTTTAACTGTTCAAATCAATTGACTTGTTTATCGCAGTTCATATTATTTTAACTGTTCAAATCAATTTACCTACTTATCGTAGTTGGAATACAGTTAAATAATGCCTAATCAAGCAAAAGATCTAATTTTCTGAGGTACAAGGAACACCTTATTGTGCTTGAATCAAACAACAACGCTAAAAAAAAATCTTTACATGTCATGTGAAAGGAAGTTATAACACTTTCCCCGTCATGTCAGCTCAGGTATGGAGTGACTTGACGTCATATGATATTATGACGACATATCTAGGTACTTTAGAGAAGTTACTACAGTTGGAACAGTTTGATATTTTACGGACAGCTTTATCCTAGCAGCGTATTGCCCGAAGCCAATGAATACTTACGTTATCAAGAAAAAAAAGAAATGTTTGGAATCGGGAAAATTACATAAAATTAAATCAAAACAAAATTTTAGAATAAATATTTTCAATTTTTGTAAATTTCGTGATAACATTTTCTTGTAACATGAAGTGCCACACACTACATACTTGTGTTTTATTCGCAACACAAATTATAGGCTGGAGAATTCAATACTAGGTACTGCGAACAGCTCACTCATTGTGTTCTATTGCCATTGTTTTGATTTATTTCTATATGATTTCCCCGATTCCAAAGATTTCTTTTTTCTTGATAAAAAAGACTGAGTTTCATGTCTTTACAAAAAGTTTCCTTTTCACGTTTTTCACAATCTTTCTGTACTTATTGTCTGAACTTGAGGATTTTTATTAATATATATTATGCATGAACTTTATATTCGACAAAACTTTTTATAATGTAAGTATTCAATTGTAAATTTTGATGCTTGTTGTCGCGGACGGCTGTGCCGACACATTCAATAATACGCTTTAGTGAGTTGTAAAAATCTATCTTAACTTTACAATTCAATTTTTACCTCTCCTTTTCTGATTGAGGAGTGTCCGGCATCCAAATGCCGTTTGTATTTTCAATTTTCGACTTCCTCTCAAGAATAACTGGACCAATTTCAACAAAAGTTGCCATAAAACATCCTTGCGTGAACTTAAGGGAATTCGAATTTGTTCAAATGAAGCGCGACATCCTCTTTCAAGGGGAGATAATTCATAATTTTTGAAAATTCAATGGAATTTAAAATTTTTTTTTGTCAATGACTAGTAGGTCAGAAACTGATGTGAAAGCTTTATTACATATTGCATATTCATGTTTGTTCAAATCAAGTCCTCCTGGCGATACAAGAAGGACAGGACAACAGCAGAAGTTTTAACTTTTATATAGAAATACATGTTTATAGGAAAAAGTCTTTTAAAATCCATGATTAGTCAAAGAAATATGGAAGACCTATGTTAGAGTAGATTTGATCGAATCATGACACAAACCTTCCCCTCTGTGGATAATGATTCAGTTGAATGGCACCTGATCCCATCTCTGATGTATTAGAAGTCCGTGTTTGCTCTGCTCCTATTTTGTAATGTTTAATGGACTTTTGAACTCGAATACTGTTCGTTATCTCCACATATTTCATTGAAAAGTTATTTAAACTTTTCAATACTGAACTGATTTTTGCTTTCCTCTAGCCAAAGTTCTCAGGTTAGCGATGTGGCCCTTTGGTCTCTTGTTATATTTACATTCATTGATTTAATGGGAGATTGAAAAAATTCACGCCCTTTAAATTGATACACTCAGCATTATAGAGTGAGTTAATCTGGTGGCTAAATTCAGGGAGCAGCCGTCAGGGTTCTTCGAAATCATATGCCAGTTTTTTATATTCCAAACAACCAAAATGTATTCGAATTACCATATTTATATTGGATTCCGAAACTTCATAAAAATCCTTACAAACAAAGATACATAGCGGGTTCCAGTAAATGTTCAACCAAGCCTCTATCTTTACTCCTCAATAATATATTAACAGTGGTGAAGGAGAAACTTCAAGAGTACTGTGCAACAATATATTCGAGAAGTGGTGTAAATCTGATGTGGATACTTAAAAATTCCAAGGAACTTTTGGAAAATTTGAAATCACAAGATTTTACCAAAATCAACAGCTTAAAAACTTACGACTTTTCAACTTTATACACAACCATTCCGCAACCAATTAAAGTCCAGGCTTTTTGGTATCATTGACAGCTGCTTTTTCAATAAAAATGGAACTCGTAAATATACTTACCTTGTCATTGGTCATTTGCAAAATTATTTTGTTAACAAACATTCTGATTGTACACACAAGTACTCTGAAGTTGATATTAAAAACATGCTTGAGTTTCTGATTGACAATATGTATGTGGTTTTTGGAGACCAGGTCTTCCAACAGTCTATTGGAATTCCCATGGGTACCAATTGCGCCCCGTTATTAGCAGACCTTTTTTGTATTCATATGAAGCAGAATGTGTCCAAAATCTTGTACGTGAAACGAAGAAAACACTTGCTGTGGCGTTCAACTCGACATTTAGATATATCGACGACGTATTGTCAATTAACAATGGCTATTTTCATTCTTATGTCGATACGATATATCCTGGTGAACTTGAGATAAAAGATACCACAGAGTCTGACACATCTGTTTCATATTTGGATATTTTACTTGAAAAAGACGTTAATGGTAATCTAACAACCAAGCTTTATGATAAACGTGATGACTTTAACTTTTCAATCGTCAACTTCCCTTACTTATGCAGCAATATACATGTACCTTCATCACCTGCATACGGGGTATATATCTCTCAGTTGATTCGATACGCAAGAGCATGCTCTACGTATGTACAATTTCTAAAACGAGGTAAATTATTGACAAATAAGTTGATGAAACAAGAATATCAGCTGTCTCGTTTAAAGTCATCATTTCGTAAGTTCTATGGTCGATACAATGACCTTGTCAGCAAATACAATATATCATTGAGTCAAATGCTGACTGACGTTTTTCATACTAATTGTTAGGCCATTATTTACACACTGAATTGTCAACGGATTTCTCCGTTATTTCCCGATCATGACAAGGAGCACACGGCGGGTGTGACCGGTCGGCAGGGGATGCTCACTCCTCCATGGCACCTGATCCCACCTCTGATGTTTGGAGGTCCGTGTTTGCTCTGCTCCTATTTTGTATTGTATAATGGACTTTTGAGCTTGAATACTGTTCGTTATCTCCATATATTTCCGTTACTCTTTAACATGAGCTTGGATTTGATTTTTGTTCATGACACTGTATCTATACGGCGTTTAAATTTGTGACGTCCAAATAAAACTTTTGACCTCTCCGTCAGTGTTATTGTGTTATAAATATCGAATCGTTCAACACACGTTTTACGAAAAATGCATATGGAATGAAAATATTAAAGAAACCTGGGCCTAAACCTATTTGTAGCACAGCAGGCATACTGGTGGATCAAGTACAATTAGACTGATGTAAATTATTCATATATAGTTATACGTGAAAACTATTCTTTATCTGCATATATTCAACAGTTAAACATATTAATAAAGGGATTTTCATATCTTATTTCAAAATCATAATAATAGCAGCTCTTACATATACCTATATGCAAGTCTTGATTTTACATGTCAGATCATGTAGAAATACTTTTCGTCTTTAGATCTGTGCTCATCGTTGGAAAGACAGCTATTTAAGCTTACATCTAAATGGAATCAATCATATGAATGGTATGTGTTATGAACTAGACGCTAGTCTCTCCAAAACAGCCAGAAAAATCCCGGCTTTGACAATCCGAGAGCGCTTGGTCAATCGTCAAAGATACGCAGAATTCTCTATGGGCGGACTCGGCATGTCGGCAATATATTCTGGGGTATCAAATTTTGTACTTTTATGACTTATTCATATCCATTTGTCTATATTAATTAAAAAAGTCTTAAAACAATTTAAGTTTGATATTTAAATTGCTGATTTCATTGTATTGTTTCAATGTTTTACGATAATTGAAGTCGTTTTATTTTCTTGATTTAAATTATGTGTACGCTTTCCATGCTAAAAATAAAACATGTATCTTTTAAGCAGACTTTTAGATATTGTCATTAAGTATTGAATCCAGTGAGCTGTTTTTTTTTTTTCAGGTGTCAGGATACATTATCATGGGTGCACCCGGACTCAATGATTGGTCAGGTTTGTTCAGTGGATCTCTTTGATACGAGGGTCGTTCAATGAATAATGCAAATAGTCATATAAAAGTAAGAAAAATACGTTATACATATTCTAAACATTTTCAATCCCTCTAAGAATTCCCTGTTATCCTTTACACATACCTTACGTCTTTGTACCCATGACCAGAAAACCTCAGCATACTCATCTTTAGGGATGCCCCAAAGACACTGATGAATATCACTTCCCATAACATATCTAATAGTGTACAATATTCCTTTAATTGTTTTTATGTGTTTTTTAAATAAAAAAGTCTCTCAATAGCTGCGATCTAGCGAATACGGGGGATGGCAAAGCTCTGTAAACTTTCTTTTCTTCAAAATTTCATTTTTTTTCTCTCTTTGCTTATTTGCAGCAGCGTTGCCAGGTGCGGTATTTGGACTTCCTTTGCAGGAAATCTGTTTACCTTTCCTCAGTGCAATTCAAAAATAAGAGTTATCATTGATGGCCTCTCCTTTGGATGTATGTGCATGTTTTACTGGACCTCTTAAAAAAAATGAAAACTAATGTTTTCTCTTTACAATATTCCACACTTTATTATTGATCTTCCTTTTTGGCTATAAAAAGTGCACCCATGTTTCGTCATCCATCTAGCAAATTAAACAAATCTATTTTGTTAAAATATGTGTTTTAAATAGACCTTTGGCACATTTGTTTTCTCTTGTGCAATTTTAAGAAAATAAGGCACCTATATGATAGAAATATTATTATATTCATTTCCGTTGTCCGAATTCTATAAAATGTCGCTATGATGAAATGCTTAGTGTTTTAGCAATGTCTTTCTATGTAAATCTGACATCTTCAGATACCGGTATCATATTGGACATAGCATCGAAATTTTTGGTGTCCCGACAAATTTCAATAGATCGACCAGTTTGACTTTTATATTTTAACTCTCCTTTTTAATTTTGAATTCCGGAATCAATCTAAAAACTATTCAGCGCTAAAGACGATTCTTTTTACATATAAACATATCTTTAATATGAGTTCTTCGGCAATTTATGTAAAGAAACACAGTTGTCACATATATTCTCATTTTCATCTTCTTGTGAAATATGTGGAGATAACGAACAGTATTCGAGCTCAAAAGTCCATTAAACATTACAAAATAGGAGCAGAGCAAAAACCGACCTCTAAGACATCAGCGGTGGGATCAGGTACCATGGAGGAGTGGGCATCCCCTGCCGACCGGTCACACCCGCCGTGTGCTCCTTGTCATGATCATGGTCATGATCGGAAAATAACGGAAAAATCCGTCAACAATTCAGTGTGTGAATAATGTAAACAATTAGTATGAAAAAAGTCAGTCGGCATTTGACTTAATGATAGATTGTATTTTCTGACTAGGTCATTGTATGCACAATAAAACTTAAGAAATAGTGACTTTAAACGAGACTGATGATATTCTTGTTTCATCAACTTGTTTGTCAGTAACTTACATGTACCTCGTTTAAGAAATTGTTCATACGTAGAGCATGCTCTGGAGTATCGAATCAATTGAGAGATATAAACTCCGTATGCGGGTGATAAGGGTATATTGCTGCATAAGTAAGGGAAGTTGACGATTAAAAAGTTAAAGTCATCACGTTTATCATAAAGCTTGGTTGTTAGATTACCATTAACGTCTTTTTTCTAAAAAAAATATCGAAATATGAAACAGATGTGTCAGATTCTGTGGTATCTTTTATCTCAATCTCAGCTGGATATATTGTGTCGACATAAGAATGGAAATAACCACTGTTAATTGACAATACGTCTTCGATATATCTAAATATCGAGTTGAAGGCCATAGCAAGTGTTTTCCTCTTTTCTCGTAAAAGATTTTGAACAAATTCTGCTTCATGTGAATACAAAAATAGGTCTGCTAATAATGGGGCGCAATAGGTACCCATGGAAATTCCAATAGATTGTTGGGAGACCTGGTCTCCAAAAACAACATGGATATTGTCATTCAAAAACTCAAGCATCTTTTTAACGTCAACTTCAGAGTACTTGTGTGTACAATCAGATTGTTTCTTGACAAAGTAATTTTGCAAATGACCAATTACAAGGTATGTAAATTAACGAGTTTAATTTCTATTGAAAAAGCAGCTGTCAACGATGTCAGAAAGTCTGGACTTTAATTTATCGTGGGGAATATTGTATATAAAGTTGAAAAGTCCTACGTTTTTATGTTGTTAATTTTGGTAAAATTTTGCAATTTCAAATGTTCCAAAAGTTCCTTTCAGTTTATTAGTATCCACTGATTTACACCACTTCTCGAATAAATTGTTGCACAGTACTCTAGAAGTTTCTCCTTCACTACTGTTAACATCTTAGTGAGGAGTAAAGAAAGAGGCTTGGTAGAACATTTACTGGAACCCGCCATGTATCTTTGTTTGTAAGGATTTTTATGAAGTTTCCCAATCCAATATAGATATGGTAATTCAAATTCATGTTGGTTGTTGGGAATGTTAAAAATATTCCAAACTGACGGAGATCTTTTTAAACAGTTTTCAGCTCAGTGTAATGACCATGCTTTCTTTAAAAGTGAATTTCTTTGCGAGGACAATAGGAAAACTCTTGGGGTTTTCTGTTATAAAGAGCTCTTTAATTAAATGTTTCAACTGTGAAAATATTAAATTAAATAGATCTACATTTACTATGATATACTGTTTGTTGCATTACTTATTGAACGACCTTCGTATATTTGGACTAATTAGGGACCTTATCTTTGTTATAACATCAGTGCTAATTTTTTAAGGAATACTTTTCTTGCTGATTCAATACCATGCTTGCTTTAATGTTGGTTGTAGGCTGATTTAATTAGTAGGTCAGTGCTACCGAAAATTGCAATGGTGCTAATAATTCTACAAGAACTGAATATACATTAAGTCATGTATACTTTGTAAAATATAATATCGGCAGTGTAATTTTTATATATACATGTAATCTTAAATATATGCATGGCTTCGTAGTCCTATGCATATGAGAAATATTCTTTTGACTGTAATCAAAGCACCGAAGAAAAGCATCACCCATGACTTGGTATGATCTGACATGCATGTGAATGTAAGTAATCTTAGTTATGTTTGCCGTTGTTCTTTGTTGTTGACTCATGATAATGATTATTTTAGCTCTTAGATTATTTCAACTAAATATTGAATTTTCTTTTACTGTAAATTTGTTTTAATATACCTGCAATTACATTGAAAAATCTTTACTACAACAATTTCATTTTTTTTTTCATATTCTAAGGGATTTAAATATGCGCAAGATTGTTTTCGACATTTGGAAATCAAATCATCTAGATCAAGCTATAAGAACCAAATCACATAGATTACGTTGTAATCTCCTGGTAATGAAATCATTACCCTATTGCCAGGAGATTTTATGCTTGAAATTTTAACTTGGTTTGATAGATTTAAAAATGGGGGCAAATCCCCTGGACGCAAATATTGTTAAAAGGGCACTTTTGTTTTCTAAAGATCTTCACTAATCAGAAAAGAATAAGATATAAAAAGGATTCTATCTATACGAGTGCATTTATTGTCTTTAATTTTAAAGATTTACATATATATCCTGTAAATCATTGGCTTCAAGTCCGCTCATGTTAATACGTTAGATTGATTGATTGTGTGTTCTTTTACGTCCCATTCGAGAATTTTCCACTCATATAAAGACGTCACCATACATCGATGAAGGGCCGCACATTTAAACCTTTACTCGGCACTCAGGGCAATTGAGCAATGAGGGTTCTTTATCTGCAAACGCCTATCATGACACAGGGCCTCGGTTTTTAAGATCTCATCCGAAAGACCCGCAACTTTCACTCCAAAGTGCCGAGGGCTTGTCGAAGGAAAATTTGCTACCTTTTATTTATCGACTTAGGTCAGTCGCGGCCATGATTCGAACACACGACCTTCCGATCACGGAGCGAGCGCTCTAGTAACTGAGCTACTGTGACGGTTAATACGTTTGATAGTTTGGTAAATGTTTTAGACAGTATCTTCTATCTGTATCGCGATAAACGAGTTCAATGACTAGAAGGATTGCTGTTACCTGACAGACTCAAGATCAAAGCATTTACTATTTCAGGAGGAGTTGTACTTGAAAGAAATGGATCTAACAAGGATGACATCCATTACATAGAACCTCCGAGAAGAACTTACCAGGATTCCCAAATCGGTAAAGTAATTTTATTTGAATATAAATATTGCATAGATATTTAAATTGTTTCTGCTTTGAACAGCTTTTGATGAAATTCATTGGTACCTTTAACTGTCGTCAAATTGATAAGTTATTTCATCTAATATTCTATAATGATTTAATAATTCTTCTAAATAAAGTGATAAAGTGCAGGAAAATATAATTACAATCCTTCTCTTAAATACATGCGATACTATTCGTCTTCGGAAATTCAGTAAGATATACATATATATACATTCTCTCTTTTTTTTTTTTTTTTACAAAAAATAGTATTTTCTTTAATTTCCATCAAATGAAATGAAAAAAATATAACTTTAATCTCCTTTTAATGTCTAGTTAAATTTGAAGTAATTGTACATTTTAAAAAAAATATTTTTTAATTTTTTATCCTTAGGAAGCAGTCTGGCCGTTGGAAATTTCTTATTCAGAACTGTAAAAAGTCTAGCTTTGGGTGCACCAAGAGCAGGAAAGGTAGTGTTGAATAAATAAAATTAATTTGAAAAAATACACTAGATGTGAGATATGTAAAAGTAGGATACCAAAACAAAAGCAAATGTCATGGCAATTTAGGTTAAGTAAATCAATAATGGGTGAGCAGAGTAACAAAGACAAGTGTGTTCCTAATAGTTTTTTTGTTGTTGCTTTTTTTTTGATATGCATAAATTAATATATATATATATATATATATATATATATATATATATATATATATATATATATATATATATATATATATATATATATATATATATATATATATATATATATATATATATATATATTAGAAACATGCGAATCATTTGCTTATAAGTAAAGCTCACCGTATAAACAGGGTTTTATGATACAAAACTATGATTATGTTTGAAATCAGAATTGGATGATAACCTTGTACGGTAAAAAGACACTAACTAGTTTCTTTTTATTTAAATTTCATCAGCATTTATTTTTGTTTAACAGGTTTTATTTTACGAATGGATGGACACAAACAGAGAACCCGTCCATATAATAGAGAATGAGCAAGTACGTTATAGGTGTCACATCAAACGCAAGAGTCCCAAGGGCCTTACTGGTCAACAGAACACAATACTGCAAGGATCAGTAGAAGTCTATTGTTAAACAAAGTAAACTGAGATATGAAGATATGTTGCCCCAAATCAAGGCAAATAGGATAGTCAACAAAATAATATTCTGGTACACAGTAAGACATCATGGGATATATGTCTCAACTTGCCAGCACTAAATGCACTCCCTTTTGTCATTATAATTGAGAACCTAACTTAAGAAGCAGAGAAAAAAAAAAGATTTTGAAAGATAACATTAATTTCGATAGTTATAACCTAACCCTTCAGGCCGGGGAGGGGGCACGGAATCTATTATTATTGCATCCCCCTTTTTGATTGAAGTTTTATCCAAAAAATGGTTGAAATTACATGTTCTTCCGTGGTTCAGGTGAAGTAGCTGAAAATGTTCAAATGTTAACGCACGACACAGATGCACGACGACAGGCATAAAAGATAGCAATAGGTCATCTGAGTGACTCAGGTGACCTCATAACAGCGAAGCAAAGTATTTTCCCAAAGATTCTTTAAGAATTGATTGAAAAATTAATAAAAGTTTAGTGATTGTGTCTCAATTTTCCTAAATTTCGTTCGTTGAGGTTGGGTGCTTGTGTATGTAAAGTTGTAAAAAACGATAAATGGATGATGTACATTACTCTTAGTACATTTTGTGTTAACCATACTTTCAGCATTTAAATGTGATCAATACATATTCTAAAACATTCTTTGAACATTTTGCGGGTATGTTAAGGCTACACCCAGATATTCTACTTGTCGGAAGAATATTACGTCATAGTATGCTATATGACGTGAACTTTAGAGATAACAATTTCTTAATATCTATATTCAACGATTTATTTCAGGTCCTGGGAATGAATTGAAACATTAGAAATGTAATATTGATTAAATCCTGTTACTTTTTAAGGTATAAATAGCAAAGTATTTGTCAAGGGAATTTAATACCTAGCCCATGACGTCATAACTGTTGATCCGTATTTGAAAAGTGAAAATGAATCGTAACGAGAATTCATTTAAACAAATATATTAAATGGGAGTTAAAAAGAATATATAGTGAATATCAAGTATGATTATTAGGGAATTAAAGATTAAGAACCAGGTGCGCTATTTTTCTTATTATTTTTCGTATCATGAAGACAGGCAGTGTTTTGAAATCCGATCGTATGTAAAAATTGTAAAAATATTGGTAAGGTTTCATGCAAAAGTATGGACAAAATATTTCTTTGGAAGTAGGGTAGGATACTAGAAGCAATTGCCATGGCCCAGAAATGTTTAAACACATACATTTTAAAAAACAGAAATGATTTTTCCGGGGGTAATGTTAAACATTTACTTTCGTTAAGGAATATTTCTATTCATAGACGTGACATGATGTCGTAGTAGAGTGCATCTTTTAAACCAAGACTCGTAATACTATAGTTAATATTGTCCATGACTTTCCAATTTATCAATGTTACATTTTACAAAACAGTGTAAATTCGCCGATATCTGATCTGGGTGTAGCATTAACATACAGGTTTGCGTTAAAGTATCATTTTCTTCAGTGGTATCTCATTTAATGTTATATATATAGCACCTAACATAATGTTATTAAAAGACAGCAAGTCAAATGCACTTTAAAGGAGTTTTCTTGGGAACTTTTTTTTTCTTGCGGAAGGATTTCATAGAAGAAATACATAAAATAAATTGTTCATTTTAATCATATAGTGTCTTTCAAACATTTCCTTACTTAACGAGGTTCGCTCCTGAGCTTTTGAGCAGATTTATAGCTTAACCTATATTTCAAAAATTCTGCATAAAGTTTTGATTCTTACAACAAATTTGGATTCTACAATGCCAGTTAAACTATATTCAGTTAAAACTCCATGATTAAATTCCATACCAAAAGCATTAAGTGAGGAACGATATTTTGTGGCGGAAGGTTTTTTTTTAGAAGAAAATGATCATTTTTTTCTCTTTCGAAGTATTTAAAGTATGTTAAGTTTGGATTCCTATTTTTCCATGCAGCCTGCACACAGGGTTATTTTGTGTAGTGAATTGTTTCATACTGGTCTTAAATTATATTTCAAATAAACTGTCATGAATTCTATCATCATATTTCATAAATATATCAAATATATTGTGAAAATCAAGAAAAAAAATATCCCTATCTTAAGCTTAAATTTAGCACTATTTTAGTAATATCTAAAAATTAACATCACAGACCCCCACTTTTTATTTTCTTTTCTGAATATATAAGATACTTTTAACCATTCTTCTTAAATTCAGTAAAATGTCATTACTTTCAAATTATTTTTTTGCTTGTTAAATTTTTAATGCCAGAGAAATGAAATTTTTTGAGTGCAAAAAGGTCAAATAATTGAACATACGGAGTAATTTGAAAATTTTTCCGTTGTCACAAATTTTAATGTGTCTATTCAAGATGAAATAAGGCTGTGTTTGTTCCCATAATTTATTTGAATAAAAAATATTGGAGTAAAAACTTTAAAAATTGATTTATGTGTAAGACGTATTTACAGTGCAAAAAGGTCAAACTAAATGCTCTGTAGCGCCAAAAGAAGCGCATTGACCCCCATTTTTTGTTTTGATTTTTAATAAAGCTATGTGTATTAATTCTAAAAATATACTTGATCAAAAAATTCTCATTACTTTTGATGGCAAGATCCAACCTCCTTAAGTAACTCGTTATGCACAACTATTTTTTTTTTCCAAAATCAGACCAAACAGCAGAAATTTAAATCCAATTCATAGGGAATTTGAAATTAAGCCATTCAATGTTTTCTTGAAAAAATACATAAAAACTCCTAAAAAAATAAATTCAATATTTTCACTAAAATTTTATTTATAACTTGAAAAAAGTGAAATGCAACCCCATGTCTCTGTGATAAATATAAAAAAAATAGTATACAATAATATTTACGCAAATTTTTTTAAAACGACATTACTCCTCTACTAAATTTTAGAAACATACCTTGTTCTTGTTACAATTTTCCTATCTTTAAGTGCAAAAAGGTCAAGTTTCATATTATATACTTCAAGGATTATATTTTTTTCTTAACTCATAATGCTATCCTTGAATATTTATTTAAATAAAACGTATTATCATGTTTATAATATTTTTTTTCACACCAGTAGTTAAATCAATATGCATTAAATCAAAATTTCAAATCTTTTTTATAGTGTAATATGTCAAGTTAAACTGGCTTTCACTACGAAACAAGGCATGTATCACCCTTGTTTCTCTTGTCTGTTTTAAATCTTGATTATAGTAGATATTACAAATACATTTGATGATCATTCCAATACTCAGAGCTGCAGATGCGTACCTCTTGAAAAGCAAACGTTACATGTAGAAATAGCTACTGAATATTTCATTTCCCTGGTCGTGTGAGATTTTTCGATGAAAAAAAGGTCTACTTGTACACGGCCAATGTTCGAAGACTACTAATTCTCGGACAGGCCTCTTAAAAATGCAATAAAACATTAAATTTTCAAATTTAATTTGAGAGAGCACGCATAAGGCTTAAATTCTTGGTGAGTTTCTAAGTCTTATGTCATGCTACCTAAAAAAGCTATTAAAAAGCGATAAAAAAACTGACACTAATATTCACAGCCTAAAATTGTCAAATCATCTTCATTAATGAGACATGTAAATGCGAACTAAATTTATCAAAAAATCCTCTTTGCAAAAGCATCCTAGGATTTTGGTGTGCCTATTTTAATGTGTGAAATTGATATGGAAATATATTACGCACTTGTATTGCGTATTGACCAACAATAAGAAACTCCACAAAAAGGTCCAGAATAAAGTGGTCATACAAAATTTGATCATTCACAAAGCAAAGAAAAAATGTGTCAGAGAACTGTCTTTATATAACGTACTATGTCGGTCGGGAATATAAGTATGAAAAGCAGTGCCTATTGATAAGGCTAAATAACTAAAAGATAAAACTTACATTTAATTTCTTAAAAAAAAATAATATAATTTACGCCGTCAGAAGACCAGATAAACAAAATCAATATTTTATTTTATTTGTCGACTTATATATTTGTTCAGACGAATTAGGTATTCGTTCAGACAAATTAATTATTCATTCGGACAAATTAGTAATTTTTTTTGGAGACGACTTGGATATTTCTCTTACACATTAAAAATTCGTCTGGACAAATTAGAAATTCGTTTCGAGGAATTAAATATTTGTTTGGACGAATAAGATATTTGTTCAGACGAATCATAAAATCGTTTGGATAAAATAGAAAATCGTTTTGACAAATTAGATATTTGTTTGAACAAATTAGAAAATCGTTCGAACAAATTAGATATTTGTTTGGACGAATTAGAAATTCGTTCAGACAAATTAGATATTTTTTCTGACAAATTATAGACATCAGTTCGCACAAATCGTAAATTGGAAAATTAAAGTACAGTTTTATTGTGTCCTTCAATTTAATGTTTTCAGAAAGTTTTAAAATTGGCTTGAATATGAGTTGAGTATATAAATGTTATAAATCATTAAGGAATATAAAATGAAGGAAGACGAGTCTGGGAATATGATGTCATTAATTTGATACATTTCTAAGTTTTGAACAGAACCCCCCTCCCACCCCCACCCCAAAAGGATTATCTTCCTCATGAAAATAGTGTCCTCAGCCATCGCCCACTTCAATTTTTAGATATGTTTCTGTAAAATTCTTTGAAAAATCACATTTCTCATAACCATTCTGGTGCATTTGGCCACATTATCTGAAAGGAAATTTCACTGAAAATTGATGTCCTCTGCATTTTATTTTTAGAAAATACGAGAAAATACGGGAAATGCACAAGTTCATAACTTCATAAGATCACAAGTTACCATTTAGGAGTTCTTATGAGATGAACGATTTGTATGATCTTACTGCATGGAAATTCAACGATTCAGAACGCATGAGTTTTAATTTCTCACATCACTTTCATACTTTAGAAGAATACAAGGCCAGATTTGTACTGAAACCATATTTCTTAGTTCAGACTTTAATACTTTGTTTAAATAATCTGTGAATTTGCACATATTATCTTATCTTGAGAGATTTATACAAGATTCATTCCGTAATATATTACAAAGAGGGTTAAATCTTATGTTTTTTAATTATTACATACATTGCTGCTTGGACCAATAACATTTTTATAACACATTGTAACAAGACAAGTCATATTGCTGTCAGATAAGGTGATTCCGATTATTCGGAAATGTTAATATTATATATTAATATAAGATGTAGTTTAAGTCTAAAGTTCTGAAGGTACATTATTCCGAAGGCCCACTAGTCAAAAGGGTCCACTTCTCCAAAAGTTATTGGGTAAATCAAATATAATTATCTATCTTATTAATATGTAGCTTAAACGAGTACTCGCGCTCCTCAACATTCATGAGAAGGGGGTTACCCCACTCGCATTCCTGACACACGCATACGCGTTGTCATTAATATCGGTAGCTTTTACAAGAGCACTGTTTGCTGATGATGCTGAAATCACAAATGACAAATAGCCATGTTGTATAGCCAAATTGTTCGTGCTGGTAACAAGTATTACCAAGTTGTTTGTATACCCAAGAGGCAAATGTTACCATGTGGCAAGCAGCTGAGGTGAGTTGCTTGTGTAGCCGAGAGGCATTGCATCGAATAAATATACAGGCATTAGAGATTTCTCTTCATTGTACCCTAACAAAAAATACTATAGTTAACTAAGTTTATTACAGTTAACAATAGTTAACTATAGTGATAACTTTGACACTATGAAAACTTTGATTTACTATAGTGATAACTTTGACACTTTGATTTACTATAGTGATAACTTTGACACTTTGATTTACTGAAGTGATAACTATGAAAACTTGATTTACTATAGTGATCACTATGAAAACTTTGAGTTACTATGGTGAAAACTTTGATTTACTATAGTGGTAACTTTGACACTTTGATTTACTATAGTGATAACTTTGACACTTTGATTTACTATAGTGATAACTTTGACACTTTGATTTACTATAGTGATAACTTTGACACTTTGATTTACTGAAGTGATAACTATGAAAACTTTGATTTACTATAGTGATCACTATGAAAACTTTGATTTACTATAGTGATAACTTTGACACTATAGTGATCACTTTGAAAACTTTGATTTACTATAGTGATAACTTTGACACTTTGATTTACTATAGTTAACTATAGTTAACTATAGTAAACTATAGTTAACTATAGTATTTTTTTGTTCGGGACTTCATCGTAACACTAGGCAAGTGACAAAAACATATCTATTTAAAATAAATAGCTAACACACTAGGCAGGTGTCCATTTTGTTTGCATACTTTGCATTCATTTTCATCCTCGTAAGACTTGGGCAAACCAACTACGATCCCAAGTTGATCGATAAGTTCTCGCAAGTTACAATAAGCAAGGGTATTTATACTAGATTTTTATGTCACCTGAGTCACTCAAGTGACCAATTGCTATCTGTTTTTGTCTGTCGTCGGTCGTAAACTTTTGAACATTTTCAGCTTCTCATAAACCGCTGAACCATTTTCAATCAATTTTTGCATAAATTAAAACACCTATTGTTGAAGGGGAGCAAAAACTGTGAATTTGTTGGTCCCTGCAACCCTGGAATCTGAGGGGTGGGGCTTAAACCATCAAAATTAATGCAATCTTTAAAAACCTTCTTCTTTACTACTGGACATCAATCAGTCAAATTGTTGGCATGATTGTAATACGCATTGACCCCTCTACCAAAAATGTAAAATTCATGGTCCCAGGGTCAGGGTTTTGGTGCTATGGCGGGGCTTTATAGATCATATACTGAAAGTGCACTATTTCGTTGAAAATCTTCTGCTCTGCTACTGGGTATTATTTAAACAAACTAAGCACATGGTTATGATAAGGAATGATTCTTCTTCCAAAATCCTGAAATTCATGGCCAAAGGGTTAGATGTTCTGGTGTTAGGGCGGGACTCTATTGATTATATAGTGAAAATGCATTATGTCTTTAAAAATCTTCCCTTCTTCTCCTGGGTATTATTTAAACAAACTAAGTGCATGGTTATGATAAGCAAGCATGATTCTTTGAAAATTGTGAAATTCATGGCCCCTGGGTCAGGGGTTCTGGTGAAAAGGGGGCCTATTGGTTTGAGGTATATAGTGAAAAGCATAATTTCTTCAAAATATTCTTTTTCTGCTGCGGGTTACATGGCAGAAACTAAGTGTATAGTAATGATAAGCAGGAGTGCTTCTTTCAGAGTTGTGAATTTCATGGCCCTTGGGTCAGATGTTCTGATGAAAGGATGGGACTCTTGATAATATAGTGAAAATGCATTAATTCTATTATATAACTCTGTCTGCTCCTGTTGAGCAAATAAACAAAGTGTAAAAGTTTAGCTATGATGAGCAATGGTGCTTCTTACAAAAATTTTTAAACTTCTGATCCCAGGGTCAGAGGTTCTTATGTTTCTCGGGGGAGGGGGGGGGGGTCTATTGATAATATAGTGAAAATGTGTTTATAATGTGAAAATCTTCAACAAAGTGAATAGTTATGATAATGAGGGTACCTCTTCCAAATGTGTGAATTTCATGTCCCTGGGTCATGGGTTCTGGTGTTAGGGTAGGGCTGTGTTAAATCTAGGAAAAATGCATAATTTCTTTGAAAATCTTCTCTGCTCCTGGACATATCAGAGGCAAACAGAGTAAACGTTTTGATAAGGAAGGGTACTTTTACCATATTTTTTTTATCATCTAGACCATTTGGTCAAGTGTTTTTGTCCTGACCAGTGCTCTATTAATTTGTATTCTACCGAAAGATGGCATTCCCCTTTGCCATTCACTTTGAATAATTAACTGTAAATAATTCATTTGAAAGGTTAATCGAATATTAGAGAATTATGCGAGAATTTTTAATGTACAGTACTAAAAGTACTTTCACAGTTTTAATGATCAAGTAGACTTGTAAGTAATAGATAAATAAAAAGGAGAGAAAAATAACGTCTTATCAAACGTTCTTCTTAGACCAAGAGAGGGCAATGTAAGAGATTACAATATTGGGTTTAAGTACATAAGCATTTAAATAATTTGTTAATAGATTGTATGATATTAGTGATAAATAGGGAATAGATTAAAAATTTACTGAATATTATACTTCTCATTTCGTTGATCCTAACCATCCTATTTTTTTTGTTTTTGGGCAACAAAGTTTCATCTATAAGTTTATTTTATACTCTATAGATCCTCTTATTTGATATATTATAATCGGGTGACCGTTATGGCCCTTGGGCCTCTTGTTAGCTCACCTCAGCGAAGTTGGGGGGAGCATATGTAATATCTTCGACGTCGATGTCAAAGTTGGCGTCGGCATCGGCGTCCCAGTTTAAAGTTTTTGGAGCAGATTTCTTTTCAAGTACTTCTATGCCCTATATTAATCAGAGATGCATGGAGTATGCTTCTAGTATGTTTCGTTGTACCAGTAAAGCTTTCAGATGCTAAAATTTCAGCTAGAGAATGACCAGGTAAATGTTTTTGGAGCAGGTGAATATTTTTGGAGCAGGTCTCATTTCCAAGTAACTATAAGCCCTATATTGTCCAAACATGCATGGATGATATATCTAGGGATGTACACTACTGGAATTGCCTAGGATGCTGGATCTGACCTACATTTTCCGGATGAGTGACCAGGTTAAGTTTTTGGAGCAGGTCCATTACCAAGAAACTATAAGGCCTATCTGAAATGAACTTACATGGATGCTGCATCATGGGATGAACACTCTCAAACTTGCTTCAGATGCTGGATTTAACTTGCATTTTCTGGATGAGTGACTAGTTTTAAGTCTTTAGATAAGTCCATTTCCTAGTAACTGCAAGCCCTATCAGACAAAATTGCATAAATGTTACATCTAGGGATGCACACTACTAGATTATTAGTTTAGTATGGGACTTTGTCTTACTTAAAGGCAATATTCTTTGAGGTGAGCTCTGTAATCTCTGATTACGTATGTTTGAAATTCTTGGGTAACATAGCTACATCTTTCAGTTAATTTTGCAATATGCTTCTATGGATCCTTTACAGTGTTGTTTTATACTCAGGTGACCGTAAAGGCCCTTGGGCCTTTTTCTTATTTGCCCTCCAGCGGCGCCGTAATAATTTACATCACAAGTTAAGGTGCAAAAAAAATAATAACATGAACTTTTGTAGATTGGAATTGGTTTTGGAGCGTCACTGCTGACCTACAGGATTCCTAATGATTACCTGGATGACATAATAATCGGCGCACCCTACTTTACATCAAACAGCATGGAAAACGAAGGGAGAGTCTATGTTTTTAAATCAAGAGGAATTGTAAGCTTCCCTCCCTCTCTCTCTTTTGTAATGAGTTACTTTTTGGAAAGGCAATGCTTAGTAAACAAAGGAAAAATACTTAGTAAACAAAGAAAAAAATAATGACTTTCAAAAGTCTATTTTATGTATGATGATGAATCTAAAAAAGTTTTTATTCATTTGATTTATATTATAAGTTAGGGTTTGGACTTGACACAACTCTTAAAGGCGTTCCCTTTGCACATGCGCAATTTGGAGCTTCGATTGGTAACCTAGGTGACCTGAACAATGATGGCTTCAATGGTTTGTATTTTTTAATATCATGCGAAGGATAAATATTTGAAGGCTTTTCTTTCTCCGTAAGACGACAAATAAACCTGCACATTTTTTGGCATTAGTTGCAAATATTTTTCTAAACAGTTGTAAAGAATTGTTCATAAATAGCAATAAAATCAAGGTCGACATAACCCAGAAAAGTTAAAAATTTTAGGTCTTCAGATAGAATGGGATACAGGGTTACAGTCCAAGATTATAAAATGCCACCGAATTGCAATACCCCCCCCCCACCACCACCACCACCACCATCATTTACCTATTCTTGGAAATATAGCTTTCCCTGTCTACCAGTCACACCTGCTGTGTGGACAGAGGGTGATATTCAATTAACTAGTATAGGAGCAGGGCCATTTTCTGCATAAAGTCAACATAGCTCTAGTGTGTTTCATTTTTGAGGAAGCAGTTGTCTATGATGTCAAAGAGCCTTGTCTGGTTGTTTTGTGCGGAATTGTTGTATAAAGTATTGAAGAGTCGTATGATTTTGGTAAAGTTTTGTGATCTCAAATTTTCTGACAGTTCTTAAAGGGTTTTTAAGAATTAACATCTGAGGTTTTTGTGAAAAGAACATCAGACTCAGAAAAAAAAAACAAACTTTATCCAGTATGAAATGATGATTTTTAGTGCACAATAAGGGAGGATAAATTTGATTGGGTATATGAGTATGTTAAATACCAGTAATAAGAATAAATGTACCTTCATCAGTGTCCAAGAATTTTTATCAATTTGTTTAACGTAACTGTTTAACTAGTTTTTTGTAATCGTTTTTATATTTTATTTAACTATCAAACTATTTTTTTCTTTATTTCAGACGTTGCCATCGGTGCTCCTTATGAGGACAACGGAAGCGGGGGAATTTATATATTTAATGGTCATAAATCAGGAATATGGCCGACATATACCCAGCACATAAAATCATCTGATCTTCATCAGTCTATTAAAGGTTTTGGAATATCGTTTTCTCGTCCTTCCAAAATTAACGATGGAAGAAAGACAGGTACATACATTTTGTGAATGTTTATAGTAATTAATTTGGACTATATGACTTTGGACATAAAAACAAAGAAAAATTATAGCAGGTTCCAGTTAATGTTCTACCAATCTACTTTCTTAACTCCTCACCAAAATATTAACTTTAGTGAATGAGAAACTTCAGGAGTACTGTTGAACAACATATTCGAGAATTAATGTTACATGTCATCAGATGTGGATACTTTTAAAATAACTCCAAGTAACTAACAGGAAATTTGAAGTCACAAAATATTAGCAAAATCAATAACATGAAAAAGTACGACTGCAAATACTTTATAAAACCATTCCTCACGCTACTTCAAAGTCCACCCTTTTTACCATCAGCGACAACCAAGTTTTGATAAAAATGGAACTCGTAAAAATTACAATGTACCTTACTTTAATGAATACTTCATACGAATGTAGCGAATTACGGAAATAGCGAAGTAAATTCGCAGATCCGTAAGACTTTGCTACAGCCGAGTTTTACTGTAATCCGTGGTCAAAATGGTGTAAAACAATGACTAAACAATTGGTGGGAAACAAAGTACGATTCAAGGTTAGGTCGTATTTGACAATGAGGTCATTATATTCTCTATTTTTGTTCTTCACAGCACGTTATTTCAGGGTTTATATTTCTTATCAAGTATAATTGACACAATTCAATCAAACAATTGCAAGTACTAAAAAATAATAACCAACCACCCTTCAAAGACACTTTAACCTTACTTATTGTCAGCTGTATGAGTGATAAGTGTCATTTTACAACGATAACACTTTTTATGAAATAGATAAACAATTTTTGATGTAACATATAAATTACATACGTACTTATCATAGATGTAGTGGTATAGTGATACAACAAAAGTAGACTAAAGAAAGATAAACAACACTCCCCAAGTCATTTCTCATTCTAGAAAACACTTCACGCATTAATTGCTATTTAAATAGTAACAATAATATCAAAATGAAATAACTTGATGATAAATGGTGATCCATGTCCACAAATTTTCAAGTTCGCCATATTGCATGTAAGTCTAGCTATGATTGTGAACAAATTCTTCAAAAAAAAAAAAAAAAAAAAAAAAAAAAAAAACCCTGCTTTATTCAGACGGTTGTTTGAATTTAATTCACTATGTTAAAGCGGGTTATTTACATCTCTTTGCTCAAATACAATGAATTCATGTTAATCTTTCTAATAGTCTTTTTATCACACTTAAAAATACATAGACGTATATATTGTGGTACGTGTGAAATATATTTCATTATTACCTAACCTACTATATATATTGTAATTAGGCATTTTGAACTGTTTCCTGATTCTTTTTAATGTTTTTGCAAATCGTGAAACAGTCAAAACTGTTTACCTGGTCACAGAATGAACTGTTGCATGGCTGAACTGTTCCATTATGACGTCATAATTAATTCCCCGTACTTTACAGCTTTAATATTGAATTATGTATTAATTAAAGCATTTTCATTCAATTTGAAATTATCATCTGAAAAGTAATCCTGATATATAATCAATTTAATATCATTTCGAAGAAGAGGCCATGAACACCTTTTCTGAGGGTAATTTGGGAAAAATGTAGGCCCCTTTCACTCAGTATAGTTCTTTGCCATACACATGTAATATTCAAATCTTCAAGACATCATTATGTTGTTTACTACATTTTTTTTTTTTTTCAATTTATTAGTGCATGATAATATCACATCCATAAATTTTTCTGAACACCAATCGGTGTGAGAATTTGATTAATAGTTTGTTTTTAAAAAATAATACATGTACAAACATTTGTCGATGTATTTTAAAGGCCATTGATTATTATGTCAATATCATTACTTTAAGAAATTATATAGTAGGTTAGGGAATAAAACACTTATTTGATGACAACTCGGGAAACAGTCAAACTGTTGTCCCTCGATAATGGGGAAGACCTGGGAAACTGTTGCCCTCGGCCTTCGGCCTCGGGCAACAGTTTCCCAGGTCTTCCCCATTACCTCGGGACAACAGTTTGACTGTTCCCCTCGTAGTCATCAAATAAGTGTATAATATTGCCCCTCATTATTAAAATTCTAAATATTCAGTATATAACAACAATTTTTGGTATCGCAAAAAGCGATCTGGCTCAAATGCTGTGAAAAATTAATTATACACTACGGTCGATATACTTGGGTTGTTTTGAAATTATTGTGACTTTTACTGAACTCCAAAGAGGAAAGGGGTCGATTCATGAAAGTTCAGAATTTTATAAAGAAAAAAAATCAAATAAATATGAAAAATATTTTATTAATAGCATGTTTAGATAAGATCTGGTGAAATTCTATAATTGCATATTGACGTAGTATGTCTATTGACATACTACGTCATAAACATACTACGAATGTTTATTAGTATGACAATATTAGTATGTTTATTGACGTAGAACACTTCAAAGACATAATTACATCATTCAAAATATATTTCTGTGTTAGATTTTTTTTTTTTTCACATTAAAACGAACGGGAGGCTTCAACTGCGTATTTCGAATAATTTTTTAGGAATCAAACAGGTACAAATTCCCTCCATTTTTTTAACCTCCTTTAAAAACTTGTGTGCTAATGCTATACCCCAATGCAAAATGTCCATAAAGTGTCTCTTAGAGTCGGACGTGCATCAATCGGTATCAGCTATAGGACTAGATAATTTAATTCGTTCGTAATAACTGGCGGTTGTTCTGCTCCATTTCTTTCATTATGGTTAAATGATTTGTCAAAAAATGTTTGAAGTCAACGATAAACTCAAGCGTAGATGTTTTTTGCATAAAGTGTACCCGTTGCGCTACCTTGATGTTAAAATTCATTTTAATCGAAAATCTATCAAACTTACACAAAATGGAGTAAAATAAAACATAAAAATATTATCTGTATATTTCAGGAATTTTAATACATTATCTGGGTCAACCAGGGCTGAATACTTAGCCTAGATAAAGAGTTCCGAAAGCTGGTTTCGAGACTGTGCCAGATATCCCCACCATGGACATATTAATAGGGCTTTTAAAAGAAATATAAAAATAATTCTGATATAAATTTTGTTTAATATATTGTTGGTATGTAATGAATGTTTATACAATTTTCACCAATAAACGTTGATCAGAAAAGGAAATAAGCAAAAGGTTTCAATAAAATCCGAACAGTCATCATGTATAATAAATCCTCTTGTTCCTTTCCACAGCACCTTAACATCACTATAAAAACAGTGATGTAATGCTAAATATTCTACATTGTAATATGTGTGACCAAATTCCAATATTGCGTCTCAGTAAAATAATCCAGTATATAACCGTAATTATTATTATTTTTATTGCGATCTGGCTTAATGTAAAATATTGATTATGCAATAAGCTTGATTTAAAATCAATCCACTTGTACACTTCCACTAAACCTTAATTTCAGTAAAATGGTGATATTTTGAATTCTTAATCAAATCCAAGCTAATATGTAAAATATTTCACTGAAATACGATAAACATTATATGTTTGTATATAATTTTTGTATATACTAGTAATTGTATATAATTTTCTTTAATTTTATTTTCATATTGTGATTTTTTAGTAGTAGTTGTTGGTTGTCATCGTTCTAGTCAAGCAGTTGTGTTACAAAGTTCAACGATGCTTAACATTCAACCCAGCATAAAGAGGACAAAGATCTCAGCTATGTGTGAACATTGTGTCCCTTTTCAGATATGCTTTCACGTCGAAACAAAACAAGACAACATCTTATCAAATGGTAATATTTTTTTCATAATTCAAAAAAAGGAAGCGCTTCAGGAAAAGTTGATTGATTTAAATAATTAGGCTTTAGAATTAGAATTAGAATTTTTTTACTATAAAGTCAGGCACTTAAAAGGGGCTTAGGCACCTATTTGAAAATAAGTTTTTCTAGAATTTTCGGTATCATGACTTACATGTTGCTAGAGCATTTCAGACCAATATAATATAAAATCGTAATTAGAAATTTCTTTTATCTGAAAAATTATTAAAATTATAAATTTTGGGACGCGTTTAATTGACAAACATTCTCTATCTAACACTCACGGCAAAAAATAAACATTAACAAAAACAGAACTCGTGCCTATAATTACAAACACATGTTTGACATAATGTTATGAAGGATGTCTTTGTCGTGCACTGAGGTTTGAGAATTTTTATGTTTATATATCATTTATTTGAAGTTATTTTTTCAATAAATATAGAAATTAAAAAATGTAAACGAAACAGCAATGCAACTGTGTCCAGGCCCCTTTAACCGAAATAAAAATATATTCTCCAAAACCCTTGATTAAGGGTAAAACAGCTCTACCTTATATTGCGTTTAATGACTCACTGAAGAATAAAATTTGGTTGTTTAACTTTTAAAAATATTTTGCCATATTTTTTAATATAGTGTGAACAATAAATCAAACAGTATCCTCAAATAATAATTAAATAGTAGCTTCTTGAGCCCTGATGTTAAAAAGAAATATTTTACATTAAAACCTTTAAGTGTTTTCTCTCTCTTGTAGTTTTCCTGAATTTTACTGCAACCATTAGACAGGACGCTGCTCTGAAATTCGGCCCTTTAGATAAAAGTAAAACAGACGAGTTTCTTTCAACAATGAAAGATTCAGTTTCCTTGACCCTCAACAACATATCATGTTCTGAACAATACTTTATAATAGTCAAAGTAAGAAAATATTGTTTATTTATGCATGTGCTTATAGAATGTTTTATAATGATTGAACTATTAAAACCAATGAAAGTGAGTTTTCAAAAATTTTACTTTTAGTGAATAAGGATCATATTTATTCTCATTGAGACCGTCTTGATATATATATATATATATATATATATATATATATATATATATATATATATATATATATATATATATAATCGGCTCAGGTTTCAGCCTGAAGGTGTTTATAAAGGGGCACAGAAGTTTTACCAGGTGGTAAATTCCAGGTGAGGAAGGGCTTATTTTGTACAGGTGTGAATGCCTTGAGGGCTAGCAGTCTACCTGTAGTCTTTTGTCTCATAATACCTATACACAGGAAGTGATTAAATACACAGCAAAATACCCAAAAAGTCACATTTCACTTGTGTTGGGATTTTGAGACAATTTTAAATTAGAAGTAAAAAGTTGTAAATAAAATTTCATCTCTATAATTTATATTAATTTGTATTTGAATGTGTGTCAAAAGTGTCCTAATACATTAAAAAATATTATCATTCACGTATTTGTTGAGCTTTGAAAAAATAGCTATACCAAATTTTGATATATTATCATGAAGAATATTATAATTATTTCGGATATTAAAGGTATATATGTATGTATATATATAAAATCAAGCTAAAAATTCATAGTAGTACAGCTTCTCTGTACCATGTGAGGTAAATATCAAAGGATTAAAAGTTAATTTGAAGTTCGCCATTAGTGCCAAACAAGATGTACCGGGTATACACAGAGACTGGTAAGAAAATGTCAATCAAGTTCCAGCACTAAATAATGTACCTTAATGTACTTGATTGACAGGGGTACACAGACCAGGTATTTTCGAAGGCGGTGCTTTAAATCTCTGCCTTTAAGTATTAGTATTAGTTTTGTCCAATTTTATTCAAGGGCTGATAATATGCTGGAAATTTAAATCAAAATGTCATATATCTATAATAAAAGAGGATATATGAATTCTGTTTCCGTATGAAAGTGTAAAAAATGCACTAATTTTTCAACGTGTAAGAAATATATTTTAATTTTGCGATCGATTTATTTAAGGAATGTTTTTAAGTTTTGTGCGCTAGCGCTTCATGAAAAATATGCCTACGTGCAAGTCTGTGTGATTTACACACCAATAATTCACACTAAATTTAAAAACGTTCCTTATATTTACATTTTACAAGTTTAAAAGCATCAATAATATATTCAAAATTTGAATTTCTTGCTGCCCTATATCGTTACATTTTTATTCACGTCTCCGTAGCTTCATTGTGACGTCACTTTAGCGCGAGTTTCACCGTGTATATTTCCACGCGTTAATATACACAAAAATGACTTTCAAATCAATTTCACAGTTAGCTTAGTAGAAAAACACAGCAAATGTAAATATTCATAAATGACATTGTCTTCAGTGTAATCTACATGTATTGAGTTTGATGACACTTTTCCGCGTCCCTTCTAGGAAAAATACAAAATGCAAAAGTTAATAGAAAAGTTATTCTACTGAGCACCATCAATTACAGAAAATTTCAATAAATCAAGTAAGGGATGTAAATCTATCTTTGACTTCGACCCTTCGAGGATAAAAGAAGATTATTGAATTATCAGTTTTTGATTAATCATCTTATTTTGATGACGAGATAAGAAGAAAATTTGCCTTAAATGTTTAAAATTATTTTGCGAAATATGTCTTTAAAGAAAAGAAGACTGCATAAAAGTTCTCAGGTTTCCTTATAAGAAAATTCAGCTAATGAATAGAAAATATAGGTTACATGTACAATTATTGAATATTTCTCTCAAAATCATGAAAAAGCTCTGAATTCATGTATAAGCGAAAGTTTGGTTTACTGACCACATTAAATTAACATTTTGCAGGAAATTTAGGCTTTTCCTCTATCATTATCGTGCTGACAAAATAACGAATAGTCCCGTTTGTTTCCTGAAAAAGAGTTTAACATTTATCGTTTGTGTTCAGAATTTCTTCATGGCTATTTTTCTCTCAAATATTGTACATAAATTGTTTTAATCCAAAGACGAAGTTTGAAAGTAACATAGAGAAAGTAAAAGGAATGAATGTCTTTAAATTCAACCAGCTACAAGCCACAAAGGCTTATTTGTAATTTCATGTAAAGGCTAAATCTATTATCAATCAATTCTAATTTATGATTATTGCATAGTTTGATATTAATGTGTATTGAGAACACTATAACACCGCTATAATTTTTGTTGAAAACAATAAAAAAAAATTGTTATTGTAATAACGCTTCAAAGAGATTAATCAGGTCGATGAAGTGTATGTTAAAGAAAAATTGAAACGAAAAAATTTTAATTAATGGTCACAAGAACAGCCCAGTGGATAAACAGATCAGTGGTTATTGGGGGAGGGGACAAAAGTCCCTGTCCTCTCAGTGTTAAGTATTCTCTTTAAATTTTGATTCAGAATAGATATTTTTGCTCAATAGATAGTTGCTTTTTCCCTCCCCTATGAATAAGTTTTTCTTAGCTTTTTACTCCCAACCCAACATTCACACAAACTGGATTTATTTGCGTGTTTATATTTTTCTGGTTAACCATCCCCTCACATGTACTCAGATTGAAAATCGATGGCATTGCAAAAAAAAAAAAATACACAAGATAGGGAGTAGGGGGACAAAAACAGGGAAAATAATCAGTAGAAAAGACGATGGGTGTGAAGGCTTTGCACCTGAATCAATTGTCAACAATATATTATCACACAGCAGCAATAATATCAAAAACAAATTGACTGTTTCGATTATATTCAATATGATGATGATATCTATATCCATAATGAAATAAATATCCAAGAAAAAAAACAAAGAGAATGAAATCACAGGAAAGGGGAGTTGGTTAACCAATTCTAAAATACTTACTTCCGACTGATACAAGACCATATTTCTAAAAGCAACTTATCCTCGATATATATATATATATAATGAAATAACTTGACGATGAATTAAACATTTATTGAAGGTGTCTATTATATATCATCCCCAAAAAGTTGAAATCTATTAAAACTCTGCACATAATGTATAGAGTAGAAGCCAGAAACTTGGTTTGACGTTCGATGTTTCTGCTTTAACTTATATTGTTTTAATTTATTACAGGACTGCTGTTTAGGAGATGACGAAATTCAGATAATGATAACATTTGAACTTTCTAATGTAACAGCGTCCGTTGTCATTAATAAATTCCAGGGGAAACTAGATAGACCAGTGCTAACATCAAGTTTCCCTTACAAGGTAATCAAAGCAACGCTAATTAACTGAAATTACTATTAACTGTATTATTTAATGAACCTTGATTTTTCATGATTTACTATTATTTGCTATAAGTCTTAAATACTCTACTGTGATTTTTTTTTTTATTTTTTTAATGAAACTTTATTCTTACATTCATCTTTTCCTTACGGAACAATAATTTTCCAAAGAACCAAAAGATGATCAACATTTTGGAACCAGTATTTGAATATACACATATTAAAATATTACCTTCGAGAAACAAAAGAAAATTTACTACATGTATTTAAAAATCAAATAAATGTAATATAGCAATATAAATTATATAGTGTACTTAACTTCAGTCATTATAGGAAAACGTTGAGACTTTTGCCAAAACGTATTGAAAAACTGATATTTTGATAAACTACAATTAACTAAAGTGAGCCATAGATTACAATTTTAAACCTAAGTTTTCTTTTAATAGTTTTTTTTTTTTTAGAAGTATACGCTTAACACCTTGGAAATCTTTCTACCATATGTTTGCGATCTTAAAACTTCAAGCAACAAAAATTCATTCAGTTAATGCAAATTTGATTGGAGAATTTAATGGATTTGTTTCCAAATTATTCAAGTTTATTCATACATACTGTGTAACAACAGTTTAATAGCTGAATAGAAATATGGAGATAAAGAACAGTATTCAAGCTTAAAGTCCATTAAAACAATACAAATCGGAAGCAGAGCAAACAGGGACTTACAAAAACAGCAAAGGTGGGATCAGGTACCATGGAGAAGTTAGCATCACCTGTCTACCGGTCACACCCACCGTGTGCTCTTTGTCATGATCGGAAAATAACGGAAAACGCAAAAATCCGTCGACAATTCAGTGTGTTAATAATGGCCTAGAAATTAGTTTGAAAAACGTCAGTCAGCATATGACTTAATGATAGATTTATTTGCTGACAAGGTCATTGTATTGACCATAGAACTTACGAAACGATAACTTTAAACGAGAATGTTGATATTTTTGTTTCATGAATTTTTTTTGTCAATAACTTACCTCGTTTTAGAAATCATTCATACGTAGAGCATGCTCTTGTGTATCGAAAAAAACTGAGAGATAACAACTCATATGCAGGTGATAAGGGTATATTGATGCATAAGTAAGAGAACTTGACGATTGAAAAGTTAAAATCATCACGTTTATCATAAAGCTTTGTTGTTAGATTACCATTAAGGTCTTTTTTCTAGTAAAATATTCAAATATAAAACAGATGTATCAGACCCTGTGGTATCCTTTTATTTCATGCTCACAGAGATATAATTATACACACAGTGTAGCAACACAAAAGTTAGGTATATTCATACACACAATGTAGCAGCACAATTTATAGGTAAGTGTAATATTACACACAGTGTAGTTGCACAAAACTTCATTGTAATCAAATACACAGTGTAGCAGCAAGATAGCTAAGTGTAATCATACACATTGTGAAGCAGTAAATGTATTCATACACACAGTCTAGCAGCACAGTTTTATTTAAGTGTAGTGTAGTCAAACACACAGTAGAGCAGCACAGTTTTTAGTTAAGTGTAATGTAGTCAAGCACACAGTGTAGCAGCACAATAGCTAAGTGTAATCATACACACAATGTAGCAGCACAATAGCTAAGTGTAATCATACACACAGTGTAGCAGCACAATAGCTAAGTGTAATCATACACACAGTGTAGCAGCACATAGCTAAGTGTAATAATACACACAGTGTAGCAGCACAATAGCTAAGTGTAATAATACACACAGTGTAGCAGCACAATAGCTAAGTGTAATCATATACACAGTGTAGCAACACAATAGATAAGTGTAATAATACATACAGTGTAGCAGCACAATAGCTAAGTGTAATCAAACACACAATGTAGCAGCACAAAAGCTTACTTTAATACACACAGTGTAGCAACACAATAGTTCAAGGTAATCATACACACATTGTTGCAGCAGAATAGCTGTAATCATAAAGCAGTGTAGCAGCACAATAGCTAAGTATAATTATACACATTGTAACAGCATAATAGCAAAATGAATAGTACGCAGTATAATAGTATAATTCACTCCACCTTAACGTTTTCACAGACTCTAGATACATTCAAATATTTTTTTGGCCATATATATCTATTAACTTTAATCTTAACTTTAAATAAGCATAATACAAAGAGAACTTTTTAACAGAATTTACGCTTCTAAATATATGAAAAAGAAACACAACAGTTTTATACCCCTTTATTTGATACACTATGCATATATATCTACTTATAGGAAAAAGAATTTTCTTACGATAAATGATCAAGAATTTCAAATGATAAAATTGCACAGAATATAAATAAAGTATCTTTGATGAGTTTTTTCCCAGGTCTTAACATTACTAGACGTTTTTACTGTTACTGTAACGTATCATCAGCACACTCATCATGGTGGGTTACTTTCCATTTATTTTTTAAAGTTTCGGTACAAAGACTTTTGTGGAATCAGTAGAAGATGCAATACTGCGCTGAACGTGAGCCTCTTGTGGGAGAAATTAGAGAATGGTCGACACCTTATCATTGAACCAGGACGTCTCTCACTGTTGGTGACGTTATCAAATCCTGGGCTCTCACTTAACAACATCATTTTGTATCAAGTGTTTCCCCGTGAAATGTTTTTCCTACAAGCAATAAACACGAATTCAAACCGAACACTCTCCTGTACAATAGAAAGGAAAGAACAAAACAAAGTTTTGGAATGCCTCGTTGGAAGAATTGAAGGAAAAGAACATGTTGTTCTTAGACTTGAGTACATTATCCAGGAACCAAAGTCATACATGTCGAATGTTACCGTTCAAAGTACCGTAACTACCAAAATAGTTCCGATCGATGGAATGAGGGTATATCAGAACTACACCGTACAGACTGTTCGGCACATATATGCTAATGTTAAAAGGTATCTTTAAATATTTTTCATTTGCGCATAAATAGAAAGATATTCCCTACATTTTGAAAGCTATCCATGAATTATCTATTTAAAAAATAAATATGGATTGAGAATGAAACACATATTTTTGTTTAATTAAAATTATAGTTTCGGGAATTTTCCAGATATTCGAGACCATCGAATTTCTTGCTAATAAACAGACAGAGTGTCTTCGAGAACAGTTTTTCGCATGTCTTTTACCTTTCCCTGACGGATCCGGACGATGTTGAGAATGTATACTTCTTAGTTCCAGGTTTTCAGAAAGAACTTTCTAGTTCCGAAGTGAGTTTTTGTCTTTGTTTTCTCAAATATTATGCATTTCTCAGAGCAGTTTACGCAAACAAATTTAAGTGTGTATTATTGTGTAAATTGATTACGAAATTTTTGTCCACCATTTGAACTTAGAATTACATGTATTACGTAGTGCATAATTATAGAAAGGTAATTCAATCTGGTGATTAAAAAAAAGAATGTTATGAAGTGAAAAGAACGTTTCCTAAAAGGGGAAAACTAGCGTTACTACTGTATATAAATATAAATGTTATAATATACGTTACTGATAATTTTTTGACATTTTTACAAATAGATTGTATTTTCATTTCTGTTTGTGCACTTATCAATAAACTACTTCTTAAGTAAGAACAAGAATCCCTATCCATATTTTTAAAAAAATGTTCCTTATATCAGAAAAAAAAAATAATTGAGTAATGCAAGTTTTTAAGTCTACATTTACAGGCAAGAAGAAAGTATTGGAAATTCAGATACATGTTTAAAAAGATGTCTCAGTATCATTTTGCTGACTTTTTTTCAGTATATAACATTGAAAATGAATTTTTTTGCTCGTGCAGGTAGTTATTCAACATGGAAAATCAAATATGAAATGCACATGGGGCAATTTTACCCAGAAATTAATAGATCTCGAGTATTTCAAAGATGTAAAGGTAAGGAATGAGATAATTGGTATTAGATAATTCGACATCACACATGTTTACAAATACATGTGTATTTATATTACTATATAAAAATAGTAGATAATATTAGTTAAATAATACACATACAAAACCTCTGGGGTTTTTTTTTTACCCCATTCACGATTCGTATTATGAAATTGACTGTAAGCCAACTTTTTGTTTATCTATTTGCGACATGTGATATCCGCAATTTGACGTTTGAAACTCGTCCGCGCCTACTTTTCGCAGCGAGTAATACTCTTGAGAAAAAGAGAAAAAAGAAGGTTGTGGATATTTTTCACATAAAAATAAAGGTTGTTTACAGTATTAGTATAATTTACATACTTTCCTTACATCTATCTTTCAATACATATTAGAATGAATCATTTACTTCACATACATACTCTAAAGATAGGTATGAATTACCTAATACACGTTTATATAACTAAATATATATATATCAATAAATATATATTTCACTAAATATAAGTATGAATCATCTTATAAACTGCGCCACACGGGCGACCTCAATTTAAGTAAGGATTATCAACTTGTTATCTACAGAGGTTGAGCATAACGCGAACACGTGTTTACTAGAATATTACTCTTCTTATTTAGCAATACACATGTACAGGTATTGATTGGTATAAACCACGGTGTTCTTAAATTGGATATCAAGCAAAGAACATATGTGTTTGGACTAAATGATTGAAAAAATAATGAATTAAAATATTCAGTGGAAGGGTTGTGCACTTTTTACTTGGGTCATTTAGAATTCTTCTGCAATATTGATTAAAAACTCTTTTGAATAAGCTTTCAGATACATTTACATCATAATATACAGTGCAAGTCGAATTACTAGAAACAAATTAATAAAATTTATTGTGGCTGGGAGACCACTGTTGTGTTATAATTCATTGACTTGCATTTCTAGCCAAGAAACAGTTCATATGTAAACAAGATTTCCTTGATGCTGGTATGTCTCCCAGCCAAATTCTTTTGTTGTTTTATGGATTACATTTTTTTTTAATTTAAATAAATGATGTTTTTTTTTTTTTTTTTTTTACACTGAACATGTTTTCTGTTATGAATTTTGGAAACAAACAGAGCTGCTATGTGGCCTTGGACTATCAGTAAGGTTTTAACATAAATGTAATTTATATTTCTTAAGATGACATATCAGTTAGAGTTATCCTTCTTTCTTCATTTTCTAGGCCACTTTCATTTTTTCTATATATCGAATATAGACACATAAGAATATGAAAGCAGATATTCTAGTAACTTTATATATACATGCATATCAATAGAGTTTTCTTCTCCCTTAAATTCACAATTTTTAACCCTGTTAACATTCACTGCAATATGCTATCAAAAGTTTGGAAATTTTCATGCCAATTCAATAATTTTTAAATTAACATTCACAGCTTGCAATTTCCTTTTTTATATAGAATGAATTAGATTAATGTGTCAGGATTTTGAAATATTGAATTGAATGGTCCTCTTGTTATAGGTACAATTTTGATACATGTCATTCAGTATGCGTAAATTGACTTATTTGATAGCTTATTAATATGGTTCTTGCCAAGCATATTATATTCAACTACGAGGGGTGATCAAAAAGTTGGCGAACTAATCGAATTACTTCCATAAAAAAAATAAAATTAGTTTTCAGTGTTCATTATTTTTTAAAGTAGTCCTCTCCGATTTTAGTGCTAATCTGCTACCGTTCTGCCCATGCGCGAATCACGTGATCAAGGCGGTCATGTGACATGCTCCGTAGCGTTCAGTTCACAGAAGCTAAAAGAATTTTCCGAGTCTTAAATTTTTTACCATGAAAGTTATTTTTTATAACAAGAACAGTGCATTTGTTAGAAATGGCTAAATCTCGACAATAGGGTGGGTGGATAAGGATATCCTTTCCCAGAATGAGCATTGTGACCATCAAAACCCGAGTTCTCTGTCTTGGGAGCGTCGTTTATCCAATGTGGATAAAGCATGGGCGCCTTCTTTTTATCATATCTGATGTGTTTAAAGTCTAAAGTAAACGATATTTTAGGGATTTAATAATTATATTATTGTTAAGATATTCAACTATTTTTCTAACTGTAATTTGGCGTTCTTTCATAACAAATTGCTCAACTAGGGACACATCTCTTCCCCCAGGTTGCTGTAAGTAGGCAACAGAACAAACATCATTTTTAACCATCTCCCTTCCTTAACTAAAACAATCAATCCAATAAATGATTGAAATTCTGGCAAGTCTTTTGTCTTCATAAACCTTGCACAAAGTATTATATGTTACTGCTAAGGAATTTCCAAAATATACGAAAAACTCTGCAGCCGTTCGTTGCTTGAGTAAGACTGAATCAACCATTTCTTGTCACAAGTCATCTATATATAGACATCATTTTCACATTGTGACGTCACAAACATGGAGCAAAACATCACATAACATCTGCTGTTTATAGAACATTTATACTACTATATGTGTGCCAAATTTCATTCTGGTCTGAATTGTGGTTTTCTAAATACAGAGAAAGTTCCCGAACTTTTTGATCACCTCAGTCACCAAATGTATATCACTCTTAAAAAAGATTTTTGTCAGATAAAATGAAATATTTTTTTTATCAATAAAAAAGCCTAAATTCATAACTTAAGAATAACTTATGCATTTCGTTTACTTTTTATTCCATTTCATCCAAACATATCTTACCCAGTCAATTTATTCTGCATAACAAATTTGCAATGAATGCTCTAAGTACTTGCAACTTTCTTTTCAGATTTGTAAATACATTCACTGCGACTTGTTATCTTGTGAGCTGACACCACAATCAAGACTTATAGTCGTGAAAGCTTTGTTTCATTTCACACTAAATTTACAACATTGGAAGTCTATAAATGTAAGTAATTAAGCGTAAGAAAAGGCTCCCGATTGAGGTAGAATTTCAAGGTGTTAATGTTCTTCGCATTAGAGTGTAAACTGAACTTATCATTTTTTTTTTGTCACTCAAAAAGTCGGGTGAATTATTTTTATTGTTAACCTAATTTTGTCCGCTGGAGATATTCAAGATGCTTTGAAAAATCTTAATCATCCTCAAGTTAATGATACTCACTAAGAATTTAGAATTTTTAATATGGGTGCTGTTGTCATGGAAACAAAAACAATAAATTGAAATTTCACAAAAGTTTAAATATCAATGAGTGCTTGCTTACTTTGCTTTCAACTCCAGGAATGTACTTTAGGGTCAGTTATAGTGACGTTACAATTATGATATACAGAAAAATTTAACTTAACATTTAATGTCTAGATTTCAGGGTTAATATTGTGTTGATCATAATGTAATATTCAGCTGTTATTTTGGTAAGCCTCCGTTTTATTATATAATGTTAAATTTCTCTTTAGAAGATAATGGAGCAAGAGTACACCTCACAGATGTGCTATAAAAGCAGATTTGCAATACTTGGAGAAAATCCGATCTGCGTAAGTTATCAGAAGATTAAAATATTGAATTTCATTTTAAGAATATGAGATACAAGCTTTTAAATAAAATAAAAAGTCATGTTTTTATCAAACCCATTGGGTTTCTTTGTTTGTTTGTTTTTTTAAATTTATTTATTTTTTTATTTTTCAATTTTTTTATCGAAGAGAAGAGTGACGACCATAATGAAAGATGTCTACCGGGCTGAATTAGATGGAAGAGTGCATTACTGGTTCCTCACTTTAGCCGTGTTTACTGGCTTCATCATATTAGTGGTTATAAGTTGTTTTTTGTACAAGGTAATTTACATCTAAGTTAATTTTCTGGATCTTTATGAAGGAATCATCTTCTCGTGAGAGAGATCTTTAGTTACAATCTATATATAGTAGACATAGCTTGATAATAATTTCCGTTCTCCTATTACAATCTTGGCAAAAACGCTAAATACCATGTTGCAATAAAAGCTGGCACAAGAAAGAATTATCAACACATAGATCAGAGCTCAAAGCAAGCTCTATCCTTGACTGAATTACATATTATGATATATCAATAAGAGCTACTGCAGTCAGTAAACCAAACTCAGTGTGGCAGTTTTGTGTACTGTGATCAATTATTGATCAAAATTAATGGCAAAAATCGCTTAAGGGTGAATTAAAAAAAATGACCACCAAACTGAAATTTTTTTGGAAAAATTCAACTACTTCTAGCACATTTTTCACTTATATCATCATATTGCACATGCATTCTAGTTTAAAATCCTGAAGTGGCAATAGAATAGACAATTGGATTAAAAAGTTTCAGAATTTTTATCAGAAAAATTTCTTTTGAAAAAAGAAAATATCATTACACCTTAAAAGACTTTCTAAAATACATAATCACAAGAAATTATAGTTTTGTTTTGTTTTGTTTTGTTTTTTTGTTTTTGTTTTTTTTTTTTTTTTTGTTTTTGTTTTTTTGTTTTTTTTTTTTTTTTTTTTTGTTTTTTTTTTTTTTGCTTCAAAATGGCAAAAGGGGTATAAATGATTAAATCTAGACCTTGATTGAGTATCTCCTCTTGTATGTATGAAAAAAAATTGGCTTTTTGATTGTTATTTTACATTATTTTTTCAATTCTGGTTTGAAAGGTTTTAATATGAAAAAAAATATGAAGCAATAAAATTCCCCAAATTTCACTTTTTTGTCCGTTCAAGCCAGTTCTTTAAATCTAAGCCAAAAAAGAATTTTTATATACGAGTTCTCTTACAAAAAATACTAGATTTTGAAGTGACCCTATGTTACATTATTGTGTTGCACTCCTGACATCTTATATGTATTTTATTTAACCTTGTTTTAATAATTGTAACACACAATAACCCATTCTTACTTTGTAAATTAATTTGTCGTTTTGATACTTTTGATCGTTAACGGCAGGTTTTTCATATATTGAAGACCTTGAGACATGATTATTTGCAAAGTGTAATATATATTAATTGTATATAAAACTATGTGTGAAGTGATGAAAACTATTCCCTGAATTGACTAGAAAATTTCTGTAATTTGTTGATAGACATAGTGTTTTGAAAATCAAATAGTATCAAACATTTTTTTAAACTCATTTTTTAGTAAAGATAGTTGAAAAGCAGTGATAATTATAAAGCAGTTTTGTTGCACTCCTGACTGCAGTAAAATTTAAAATTAAAACCGTAGAACACAAAAATTCATAAAGTGTTGGCAACATCAAGTGGTAATGAAACTGTGCAATGTTTGTAGTCCAATACTTCATAATTAAAACAGATGAAAGTATTTAAAATTCGCATTTTATCTGGAATTATTCCCTATTTATGCCAAAAAACTAGCTTAAATGTATATTTAGAAGATAAAATATATTTTATAGCATATTTTCCTTTAGAGGACAAACACAATAACCCACCAGAAAAATTCTACTCATAATTTTTTCTTTATTTTTATTCTTATTGGATGATTTATAATTCTAACATATTTGTTGCACTCCTGACCAAAAGCATTGGGACCTTTAAAGTAGAATTGTGAAGTGAAAATTACATAAGAACTTGTTCTGTTGTTTCAGTGAAGTTGAGGAGGAATTACTTGAATTTTATGACAATTCTTTAGTGTGTTTATTTTTAACATTCATTAAAAAAATCACAGAAAAGAAAATCATATAATGATAATAGTTTTTTCATGCTTGGGAGCAAAACATCAAATGTTGAACTCCTGACATTATTGGGTATGCACATATACTTGACTTTAATTAATGCTGCTTGTGATTTATTTAACATTTTTAAATTTTAAAATGTATATCAGTTATTGTTTTACACTTCGAAAATTCTTTTTTGTCTTAATTTTCTTTCAGAATTTTACAATTGATGTGTTTTTTTTGGCAACACTACATTTTTTCTGTAGCACTCCTGACATGGTATAACATTTTTTTAAACATCAGCCATGACCACAACTTGATTAAACAAAAGTTAGTACAGTGCACATTTAAAGCTCAATACTTTGAATATTATCAGGAAAGTCTTTATTTTCAACATAAAGCATTATTATTTATTTCATAGATCTCAAAAAAATATTGAAATTTCAAAATGTCACAAGGTGTTGCACTCCTGACAATTTTAGCATCATTTTTGGGCATAACTTTTTTGTTAATTGAGATATCAACAAGATATTTGGCAGGTATTTAGACACTATCTAAAGACATATGCTGAGACATAGAAATTTATTTTCATTGCCTGTATTTTTATTGTGGGTTGATAAATATGCTTTTGGTCATTTTTTTTATTCACCCTTAAGCTTTTCTCCTGCATGTCTCTGTAAAGTTGCTTTTTTATCACTATGACAAAATCAAATTAATAAAAAAAAATAGTTTAAGTAAACAAACGTAAACAACTGATGGTTTTCTCTTTTCATATCTCTTATGTCATATCCTGAAACTGATTTGCATTTTTGTGCACGTTACATAAACAAAATTTTTTTTTTTACTTTAAATGGAATTTTGTGATTCTGGGGCGGCACTGACGAGGGTCTAGTATTGAAAACTAATGACCTTCTGCTCTAAGATTCACATTTTAAAAAACACTCAGTCTTCCCAACCTTGTTTTCTTCAGTATCTAATGCACTGGATTAATTGAATGAATTCAACTCTATGTCTGTTCGTGATATGAAGAAAGTTTGACAAAGAGTATGAGATGATCAGTAATTAATTATCACAACATAAAATATGAGGTATATAGGAAAATAATATTTAATACATGTATCATTCAATATTTTGGGATTATTTGCTTGGTATTTGTCTATCTTCTCAGAGATTTAGTACCCCATAAATCACTGTATAATAAAAAGAATATTGGATCATGAATATACGGAAGCCCATTTAGGACCTATCAAAAATTATTTTGAATTCGATATAACGAATTTGTTATAACGAATTTAATGCGTTATAACAATTTTTTTTTAAATCGTTATAATGAATTTAATCTGTCCCTAACAAAAAATACTATAGTAAACTATAGTTAACTATAGTTTATATAGTTAACTATAGTTAATCAAAGTTCCAAAGTTTTTACTATAGTAAATCAAAGTTCCAAAGTTTTCACCATAGTAAATTAAACGTTTGTAAAAAATGGAGAGAAGACCAAGAGAAGATAAAAAATGAACTTTTTCCAAAACAAATTTTAATGTGAAAATGGTGCTTCATTGTCGCTTTAAAAGCCATGAAGTGTGTGTAGCAGCGATAGCTCACTAGTATGCGTTACTCTTCCATTGCAATGAAAAAGGAATATTTTTGGTTCGTTCCTCGCATGGAGCGTTATTTTTTTTTTTTTTAACTACAAACAATCAATTCTTTTGTCAGTTTATATTTAAGTACTTATTTATTTTCAAATGGATAAATTCTGGTTCTGTTGCACCGAAAACGAAAGCAATTCTTCCAACCTACTGATACTTTAATATATACATGTAATTGCATTTAACTCTACCCTATAGGTATTTTTTATTTATGTGAAGCGTTACTAAGTTTTAAATGTAGTAATTATTAAGATAAGCGGACTGATATATTAAATTTGACAAAGCATTTCAAACTAAATGTAACATTTTCCTATGAACGTAACTTTGTAAAGTATGTCCAGCTGTGGTTAGCCGACCAAATCGTGGACATTTAAACTATAAATGTTTCGTACGCCTTGTTCCTGCAGATCACACACCAAACACGCCCATCTTCTTTGTTGAATTCGTTATAACGAATTCAAAATTTGTTATAACAACTTAAATTCGTTATAACAAATTCGACAATTTGAAAATATTTGACAAATATTTGACAATTTTGACAAATTAAGAAATATTTAGGTCCTAAATTGGCTCTGTAATATAGATCTGTGATATATTAAAATATTTTTATTTTAATATTTAAGTCCTATTTGACATTAGAAACAAACTAAAGCCAGTTGTGTATGTTTGTGAAATAAGTGCTATATGAACACATGTTTATTCTTAATCGTCTATGCAAATTTTTAAGATGTTTGATGTCAGACATTTTCTCCTTTACAGTGTGGCTTTTTCAAACGAAAAGCTCGCCAGGAATTGAAACTAAAAATTGAAACGCAAAAGCTGAGTACCGTCCACTTACTTCCGAATGAGACAAGTGCCTCTGAAGAGGCAGACAATGAAACTTTCGTGTTGACGCCATTTCCGAGCGGAAGTGACGACACACAGGTGATGACACCCCCTCCATGTTACATGGAAGTGATGCAAAGAGTGTCAAACTCCTCAACGGAATGCTTCTTCATCTATGACGAGGAGGATGGGTATTTACAGCCCGTGTTTTGACAGTTGAATTATTACATGTAACTGTGCCACCTTTATTGTGTTCAACTAAATAAGAAAAAAAGAAGTCGATACAACAGTAAGAGTCTCGTTTTGCATTTTATTCAGTTATTGTTTTTCTGTTGAGAAGTTTTAAATGTAAGCCATATAACTGTACTTTTAAAAGTATTAATGAAATTTTGCCATCCGTAGAGAATATAGAAATACACTTTTATCAGTAGCTTAAATAAAGATGGATCATTTGTTCTTCAGACAACATTTTATACATGGACATCAGAGACTGTTTTCAGTTTAACGTCATTTTATAGTGTTCAAATGTCTTTGGTGATTCTGAAACACCGGACTCATTTTGCAAAAAAAAAAAAAAAAAAAATGCTCAAGTCTGGACACAATTCGAAAAATCTGTTTCCAAGAAAGATACTTTTCATCTGGGTATAGTTTTCTTTTGCTTTTTGTATAACACGGTTTAGCAATATCAAAAAAAAAAATCTTCATTTCAATTTTTTTTAAAACTTGACTACATGGCTTTTGATGATTGAATCAAAACTTTAAAAAAAATTATTACGTTATAATACATAGTATTTGATTATAATAGAAATTGTTGGAAAGATACTATAAAATATAGATGTTGTTCTGTAGATATCATACAACTGTGCAAAATGATAGAAGTCCAGTGTTTGTTGAAAAACCTTGTATATTCATAAGGTTAATTGAAATATTTCTTTGTATATTCATAAGGTAAATTAAAATATATCTAGAAACAAAAAAATCAAGCTTTTGTTGAAAAATCTTGTACATACAAATTTAAGATATTTAGCGCATAATGTTTGGTTGTACTTCTTGACCAATGAATAATGAATGGAGATCCGCAGCCACATATTAGTTTCTAGTCGTGTCATAGGTTCATAAATATTACGTACAGTGGCCATTAGAGGAGTTCAATATTTATGAAAGCTGACTCAGTTTCGTCTTCGTACACCGTCCTATTGATCTTCTCCTCTTTGACGATATCTGCAGAACGATCTTGGCGATTACTAAGCTATTTGCACGACAGTCGTGTCGAGACTATATACGCAATGCAAACATTGAAAGAAAAATAAATGTATTCGGATTCGGTGACTGTGTTATAATTTTGATTTCATATCGAACTTTAATAGCATACTGTAAATGTATAACATTTGGCTGTGTATTCTTTTTACCGGCTTTGGCGGAACACAGCAATCGCTAAATCAAGTACAAAGCTAAATGCCTTGCACATGTACACATAAATAAGAATATGAAGAAATGCACTAAATCAAATCAATGCTAACTTTTTCAAAAATCAATTTCCGCCAAATATCGTAGACGCTAAATATAATACATTTACAGTATCATGTTCATAGCCTAAAATGACTACTGTTATCTTCTCTACTCGGTATTCATTAGTCCATTATTTACACACTGAATTATCGTCGGATTTTTTCCGTTTCTTCTCGATCATGACAAGGCGGGATGTGACCGGTCGGCAGGGGATGCTCACTCTCCATGGCACCTGATCCCAGCTCCACATATTTCATTCATCTATGAGTATGGAGCACACAAAATGTTGATATATCACTTGACAAAGCCATTTATGTTAAATGGTCGTGAATAGTCAACTGTAAGTAAATTTATTCTGAAAGACACCTTTTGCGCTGCCTGCAGATCAGAATGTCAAGAAAGGATCACTTAGAGTCTGTCTACGTCACTTCGAATTCTTTCTCCTTGAAAACTGCTAGAGGAAGGGATTTAATAATTTGCTCATGGATTGCTTGGAAGAGTGGCTTTTGTAAAATACCAGAGTTTCGGCATTCATAACCTTTGAAATTTTCCTTGAACCTACTTTTACAAAGGTACATGTACCATAAAGTCAATTTGCAGATATTCTTTGTCCTTTGGATGGTGTGTCTGTGCCTTTTGGCAAGTTAGTGCTTCTCATAGGATATGTTGAAATATATCAGTATAACCGTCTAACTGACTACGACATTTGCCTTATTTTCAAGAATACTCCGAACCATTAAGTAAGCTTATGTCTTATGAATTTTGAGAGGTCGGGCTTTGATGAAATATGGGGATAACGAGCAGTGATCAAGCTCAGAATTCCATTGAAACAATAAAAATCGGGAGCAAGGCAAACAAGGACATCTAATAGATAACAGAGGAGCGATCAGGTGCAATGGAGGACTAAGCATCCCCTGTTGACAGGTCACACCCGCATTGTTCTCATTTTCATGATCGGGCAAACGAAAAAGTCCGTAGACATTTCAGTGTTAAAATAATGGCCTAATAATAATTAAGTATGGAAAACATCAGTCAGCATTCGACTTCATGATAGATTTTTTTTTTTTTTTTTTTTGGCTGACGTTTGCTGATAAGGTCATTTTATCGTAAAATTTTGCGAAATGATTACTTTAAACGAGACTGTTGATATCCTTGTTTCATCAATTTGCTTGTGAATAGCTTGTAACTAGCATTAATTTTATATATTACAATGATATTGTCTTTATTTGTAGGGTTCATTATTTTACTAGTATTTAATTATGCAAGTTATAATATACATGATTTGTAGAAAAAAATAACCATCCTTTAGGTTATATATGCATTCACTGGATCAGTTTAGTTTTAACAGAAACTTCTATTTTATATTGTTATTGTCAGTGCATATACATGTACATGTATTAATAAGATACAGGGACCGTTCACGGTAGCTCAGTCGGTAGAGCGCTCGCTTCGTGATCGGGAGGTCGTGAGTTCGAATCTCGGCCGCGACTGACCTAAGTCGATAAAAAATGGGTAGCAACTGTTCCTTCGCCATGCGCTCGGCACTTTGAAGCGAAAGTTGCGGGTCCTTCGGATGAGACCTTAAAAACCGAGGCCCCGTGTCACGGCAGGCGTTGGCACGATAAAGATCCCTCACTGCTCAATGGCCCTGAGTGCCGAGTAAAGGTCAAAATTTGAAGCCCTTCACCGGTATATGGTGACGTCTCTATATGAGTGAAATATTCTCGAATGGGACGTAAAACAACATACAATCAATCAATCAATAAGATACAGGAGATGCTCAACTTTTCTTGTCTAAGTATATACCATGCAGACCGATAGGAAGGTGAGAACGGTTGTGGGTTGGGGCGGGGTCCCTCAATACTTTTGCAAGTTTATTCTTTACTATAGAAAACAAAGTTATTTTACAAATGTGTCCCTCAATAATTTTACCAGTATTTATTATACATTAAAAAACCAAGCTAATTTATGGTAATGTCCCTCAAAAACGTTTGTCGATTTTTTTGAAATTTACTTCTTCAATTATTTTTTGTTTAGCCTGTCAAAATTTTTTGTCAGATTGTGCTTCATGTGGCATGTCCTTTACTAAGATCTCATTGTCTTGTGTTTTTTCAAAGGTTTAATGATCATTTTTATCAATTCATAAAGTACTTGAAAAAGCACTCAACAACGTACATATTCAAAAGAATAGCTCTTTATAATTTAATTTCAAAACGAAAGCATTAAGAAATTATTCTAAAAGCTTAAATAATGATTAAAATTTAAGAATTTTTTTTTCTTTTTTATTTAACTATGAAAATAAGAATGGACATTAGCAATGATATTGCAGCTCTTACTTTCATCATTATACTAAAACATTTTTACCGTTTACTGAGATGTTCGATAAAATCCTTACAAGTTTTGGATGATACTAGTAGAGATATCTCCAATAAATTAGAGTTTCTCTATTGATTTTTGTTTTAGTTTTGCCAAAGGGCTACTTGGTTATTATGGCATAGGGGTAGCAAACTGCTCACTATTTATCAATGATATGATTGTATATTTTTTAACACACATGTACAACATGGTTCAGTGAGGTACACCAATGCACCTTATCTGATAACGAAAAAAATAAGGAAAGCGTGAAGAAGCGTTAAATAAATAAAAAGATAGTGATATGAATTAATGATTAAGTCAGCAGTCTGTGATCACCTTTACTTAAAACTTAGATTTTATTGAATGAGTAATATTGCCAATCAGTTTTTGCCCATTTAAATTCCTAAAATGAGTTTAAAATTATATTTTGTGGAATAGTTTTTACTGTTAATGAAGAATGAATTTCTATGTTACATGTAAGTGTAATAAATGCCAACTCGCGGGACAAATCATCACATAGTTTCAAGAAATCCTGAAAACAGTGGAAAATCCAAAAGAAATTCAAAGAAAATCTAAGTTCTTCGGCAAAAACGAGGATATATATACTTGTAGAGCATCTTCTATGTGGAAATCGTTAGTAGTTTGATAACTCCCCTGTATACTTGGACACAACATTAGAACTGTGATTGTTGCGAAATGTTTGCTCTGTTGGCTGGTGAAACCATCTTTGCTCTTTGGTTAGTGATTCCGTTGATATATATATATATATAACATATTTAGTCATAAATACACATTTTCAGGAATTCTAATCAATCAGATAATTAACTATTTATATTTATCGGGTTTTTTTTTCAGTTTTTCAATTTAAATAATATATTACATAATATAACATATCTTCACTTACCTGTATCACAGATTCTGTGCTGCCAACGATTGCAACCATCAAAAAGAAGTGCATGTTGTCTTGCAGATACTTTTCTCGTACACGCATTACACCGGTCGCTGATGGAATCCATGGTCGAAATGATTGCATTTTAGTTGAAAACCCAAATTCCACGGAAGATCAAAGAACTTTTTTGATAATTAATATGCTCGACATTCATTCATTTATTTATTCCGTTTATTTAATAAATATATATACGGTAGTCCGACTTTGTTATAGTCCGACTTCGTTATGGTCCGACTCTTTTATAGTCCGACATTGTTATGGTCCTTCTTATCTGTCATTGGGCATAAAACACGGTCCCCTGGAAATTCCAAATAATGGGAAACATGTATTAAATAAATCATTTTTGATTTTTTTATAGAGCAACAAACAATTTGAAAGCAGGTGATAAATATGTAACTGATTAATTTGTTTGATTAAAACTCTTGAAGATTAAGGCAACAATATTTTAATTATGAAAACACATACATATGGTTTTACAAGTCATTCACGTATAGTGATAGGGAGGCAAGAATATGCTAGACTGTTGCAGATGAGTTACAATTCAAGTTTGCTTGATCAGGCCCCATGACCATAAACTGTGAACAGACTCAAGTTAAAATTTAGATTTTTAATATCTCAAATTTTATTTAATATCATGTTTTTAAAATTACAAGTTCTACAATATTCAAACGCATAATATACTAAATTGAAATTTTAAGTTTAAGTTTATATTTTTGAGACCTGGAGTTTTAATGCTATCCTCTCATTTAGGTCTGGAAAAATTTTGCTTACTTGAATGTTTGAATGTCTGTTTAATTATCACAACAATGATATTCACAAAGTAAACAAGAGGCCCATGGGCCACATCGCTCACCTGAGTAACTTTGGCCATGTTGTTCTTTACCAGGTTTCCCCCCACGTAATACCTATTGTGGCCCTGCCCTACCCCCAGGGGTCATGATTTGAACAATTTAGAATCTACACTACCCCAGGATGCTTCCACATAAGTTTCAGCTTTTCCGGCCGAGTGGTTCTTGAGGAGAAGATTTTTTAAGATTTTTCCTATATATTTCAATGTAAAACTTGGATTCCCTATTGTGGTCCTGCCCTACCCCCGGGGGTCCTGATTTGAACATTTAGAATCTACACTACCCAGGATGCTTCCACTTAAGTTTCAGCTTTTCTGGCCCAGTGGTTCTTGAGGAGAAGATTTTTAAAGATTTTTCCTATATATTTCAATGTAAAACTTGGATTCCCTATTGTGGCCCCGCCCTACCCCCAGGGGTCATGATTTGAACAATTTAAAATCTACACTACTTGAGGATGCTCCCACTTAAGTTTCAGCTATTCTGGTCCAGTGGTTCTTGAGGAGAAGATTTTTTAAGATTTTTCCTATATATTTCAATGTAAAACTTGGATTCCCTATTGTGGCCCCGCCCGGGGGTCATGATTTGAACAATTTAGCATCTACACTACCGCAGGATTCTTCCACATAAGTTTCAGCTTTTCTGGCCCAGTGGTTCTTGAGAAGAAGATTTTTAAAAGATTTTTCTTATTAATTTCAATGTACAACTTGGACTCCCTCTTGTGGCCCCGCCCTACCCCCGGGGGGTCATGATTTGAACAATTTAAAATCTACACTACCGCAGGATGCTTCCACATAAGTTTCAGCTTTTCTGGCCCAGTGGTTCTTGAGAAGAAGATTTTTAAAGATTTTTCCTATATATTTCAATGTAAAACATTGATTCCACATTGTGGCCCCGCCCTACCCCCAGGGGTCATGATTTGAACAATTTAGAATCTACACTACCCCAGGATGCTTCCATATAAGTTTCAGCTTTACTGGCCCTGTGGTTCTTGAGAAGAAGATTTTTTAATGACCCCACCCTATTTTTGTCTTCTCTTGATTATCTCCCCTTGTGAGGGGACTTGGCCCTTCATTTTAACAATTTAAATTTCCCTTCACCCAAGGATGCTTTGTACCAAGTTTGGTCAAAATTGGCCCAGTGGTTCTTGAGAAGAAGTCAAAAATGTGAAAAGTTTACAGACGGACGGACAGACAGACAGACAGACGGACAGACAGACGGACAGACGGACAAAATGTGATCAGAAAAGCTCACTTGAGCCTTCGGCTCAGGTGAGCTAAAAAAATCTTCATTTTTAGATTTTTCATATTTAAAACAAACAAAAATACGATGATTTAATATTGGACTATTTCTTTATACTTCTATAACTTTCTCACTATACTTTCATTGCGACATCAGAAGGTGTGAATTTCATCGTGTATATATTTCTCCGTGTATATCTATACGTGTATATTTCTACATATATATTTAAAAACGTGAATGTACAAGAAAATGATAATCAAATCTTGGTACGCTTAAAAATCACAGGAAATGGTAATACATTGTACAAAGTCATGTATATTTTGCTCAACATAAGAATAAACACTCTTTTAAAATTATTTTTATGACTAGAAAAGAAGGGAAAGAACACAACACTTTGTTGGATCAAGCTAGTGAAAATTGGAATAAAATCTTCAATAAACCCACTCAGATTAGCATAGTTAAATGATCTTACAATAATTTTAGATTCCCAATCTAGCCCTTGAGATGTTATTGAATTGGTGCCTTGAAAAGTTTTTCTATTGCAAAACATAAAATCAAATGTTGAATGAAAAGGTAATCATATTA